AACATAAAACCGCTAATAATTAACAAAAAAAAACTAAATATAATGGTTCAACCAAGTATTCGAACCCCACACCTTTTCTCAAACTTACTAGTAAACAACTAGGTTAACCACCAAGTTGCCGAAGTTTCTTGTGATCAGGTAGCACCGATTGAAAAATGATAGGGTTCAACGAAGCATAAAAACAAAAATGGAGAAGAGAGGGTCGGGATTGGGGGAACGAAGTGCGGGTAGAGTTGGATGGGGTAGGTATGGAGGTACCGTTATTTTTTGGGGTGGTTGAATTTGGGGTCAATCAATATATTGAAAAACCCAACCCAACTCAAACTACCCAACCCACGGACAAAGAGGACTAAAATGAAAGAAAAACTAATTCTATAAGTCTTCCTGTAATTTTATTTGAGTAAATCACTAAAATAGAAATCAATTAACGAGAAATAATCTCAGCCGTCGAGATCAGACGTACGATCAAGATCACCAAGGTACGCCATACCCCGGATTTTACCCGGGGTACCATAGTAATCTAAGACGTCATGAGTTCCTAGCCCTCGCTTAGTTTAGTTTATGTTTTAATTTTACAAGAACTCATTTATAATTGTAAAGATAACAATGTAAGTATAACAAACCAACAAGTTTGTACAGCAACAGTGGTGAAAATTGCCTATGGTAATGACCAGGACATCGGCTCGACACTCATACCCTTTCAAAATTTTCTGTTTTCAGTTATGCCTATAGAACAACGTCGTTCTCCAGGCCACTCTCGATTCAGAGACGAGCACAAAACGATGGCGTTTTTTCATATATCGTCATCTTCCCTGGGTGAAATCCAGGGTGAAATCCCGGGTACCGCATACCTTGAGTAAGAAAACGCTATCCAGGACTTGAATTGACTGATCTTTCGGACATGATACTATACTCTAACTCTTAAAGATCAAAATCTAGGTCTTAATTCTCTAAATCTTATACCCCAAGATCAGTTTAATGAGAAACAATAATCGACGGTTATGATTCGTCCAAATATAGGCAAAAAAATCAATGCATCATCTTAGTATTTATAGTTTATGATTTAGATAATTAGGACCTAGGGTTCACTCATTAAGGATTAGGATATAGTATCATGCCAAAAATCCTGCTTATTCGAGGTCTAAATAGCGTTTTCATACTCAAGGTATGTGATACCCCAGATTTCACCCGGGATACCGTAGAAGGCACCATATATATACATATATATAACCTAGATCTTTTTTTTTGTTTTGTTTTGGTAGTGGTTCGTTGTTTGTTTTATGAAACGGTGTAGTATGTTTTTTTTTGTGCCGCATTGGTATTGTTTTTGTCGCATTGGTATTGTTTTTGTCCCATTAGTATTGATTAAATTTGTAATGGTATTGATGTTTTGTTAAATGATAGTGTTTATATTTCTCGAATGGTATTAGTATTTTGTGCATTGGTAGTATTTTGTAATGGATTGGTATTGATTTGTTGTAATGGTATTGATTAAATCTGCAATGGTATTGATGTTTTGTTAAATGGTACTGTTTTTATTTCTCGATTGGTATTAGTGTTTTGTGCAATGGTAGTATTTTTGTAATGAATTGGTATTGATTTATTGTTTTGTTGTTGCAGCGGTATTAGTTTGACGGAATGAAATCAAGGAAAGATTGAGAAAAAAAGGAAGAGAAATCTGGCTGAAAATTGTGGAAGTGAGAGAAACAGAAAAAATTATAGTTAATATATTTATGTAATTTTTTAAATATAATTTATTGAAAATTTAATTAATAATTTTTGTTATACCCAGTTTGCTCTTATTAACCACAGTGATTACTATAAAATAGTTATCACTGTAACCTGCCCGCTGGTAGGGGGAAGAGAAATTTTTTTTTTTTTTTTGGACGAGGATTCTTTTCTGAAGGGAGAGGGAACAATTGGGACAACAACAACAGAATTGGAGGGAAGCAGCACACACGGAAGGGAGTTTTCTCGGGAGTGGAACAGCTAGCGGAGATGCGAGAAGCAGTAACAGCGCGCGAAGCAAAACCTTCGCTCGTCGAGTAATGATTTGGAATTAAATTTCAGGAGATCATCGGGAATCAAGGTTAGAGAAACGGGTTACTTTATTCGTAATTCTTTTCCTTTTTCTTGAATTCTAAGATGTTGAACGTAGAATTATATGATAGTTTGTTCTCCATGATTATGAACTAAACCCCTATTTCTAGGGGAAACACCATAGAATGTAGCTATTTCTAGAATTGATGGATTGATTCATATATCTTTTCTTTCAATCTCTATTGCATGGAATTGCTTAATGCTTTGTGTTGACTGGCCACCAATACATTGATTTGTAGTTAATTAGGTTATTAGTGACAGTAAAACCCTAATAACTGAACTTATTTCATGTGACATAGTAACTTATCGAAGTGAAAGTGGATTAAATAAGGTGCTATGTGGTCTTGATTGGGATATCGGTCTTCAGGCTAAGCAATTAATTCATTGAGCTACGACAGTGGGATTTGAATTAATTGTTTAGTACGTAGTAATTCCCGACAGGGATAGCTAGCACAGTAGAGATATCCTGGCTATAGAGATATGGATTAAATTGATTAGAGTATGTGAATTAATATGGATATGATAGGTAGTGAGTCCCGGTGTTTCTCCCAGAGCTTTCTCCATTGAATTTCTCCTGACAATTTTTATTTGCTTAATTTGTTTAGTTTATTTTGATTTTAGAAATTAGTCATATTAAATTATTTTCACTTATAGTTTGCTCATAGAATTGATATATTATAAGGTTGTACCAGTCCCTGAGAGACGATACCCGGACTTTCCTGTTTACTACAAGATAGGAATTGAAGCATTACGCTTTGGCCCTATCAGTATATAAAATCAAACACAAAGCAGATGGATCCATTGAAAGGCACAAGTCTAGGCTGGTTGTCAAGGGATTTACATAGATTTATGGTATAGACTTTCTATATACCTTTTCCCCAGTTGCAAAGATAAACTCAGTCAAGGCTTTGTTGTCAGTTGCAGCCTAACAGGATTGGCACATTCATCAGATGCAAGAATTTTTTTTTAACTCAAGAAATCACTTTATGGCTTGAAGCAAGCCAGTTGCAATGGTTTGCCAAGTTGAAAGCTTCTTTGTTGAAAAATGGCTTCTCACAGGTAGGGATGGCAAGTTACCCACCCATGGGTAATTATACCCAAACCCAAGTAGACCCATTGATAATGGGTTGGGTATGGGTGAAGTGCATATGGATTTGTGGGTTTATAGATGGGTTTGGGTTTGGGGCTTCCATAATCTAAATGGGTATGGGTTGGATATGGATATCCATTTACTTGAGGGTGTTTTAACTACACATGCAAAAATTGGACCTATTTGCAAAACTTCAAAAGTTTAGGTACCAAAATGTAAGACCAAAAAAATTTAGGTACCAAAATGTAATTTTCCATCGATATTTTGAGGACTTATATGCAAAAAAAATTAAATTTAGGTACTAAATATGCATGTCTATTAAGTTTGGGTACCAAAATGTAATTTGTATTTGGGCATGGGTACAAACCCAAATCCATTTGATATAAACCCAACTCAACCCAAAGTAAATGGGTATGGGTACAAACCCATCAAACTCTACCCATATCCATCTATTTGGATTTCATACCCAACCCAATTGGGTTGGATAGTAAGAAACTCATGGGTATGGGCAAAGTTGCCATCCCTACTCACAGGCAACTTCTGATTACTCTATGTTCATTAGAAGGTTTCAGTGAAGAGTGCTTGTTGTTTTGGTGTATGTTGATGACATTCTAATTGCTGGGAGTTCATTAAGTGATATTTAACAGACTAAGAGACTCTTAGGGAAGGAGTTCAAGGTCAAGGATCTGGGAGTTTTGAAGTTCTTTTTGGGATTGGAGGTCTATAGGGATCATAGAGGGATATTTGTGAATCAAAGGAAGTATTGTATGGATTTATTGGAGGATACATGATACATGGATGCCAAAGACTGTTTGTCTCCTGCAGATTGCTAAGTTCAGTTGACACCAAAGCAAGGAGAACCTCTGCCAAATCCGGAAGTTTATAAGAAGCTGGTAGGAAGATTGCATTACATAACAATAACCAGGCCTGATCTTACATATTCAGTACAACAGTTGTGTCAGTTTCAAAAGGACCCTTATACTGATCATTTGCAAGCTGCTTATAGAGTGCTAAGGTACTTGAAGCATGCACCAGGTCAAGGCTTGTTGTTCAAGGCAGGAACAAAGATGGAGTTGATTGGTTTTTCAGATTCAGATTGGGCCAGTTGCCCAGATACTTGAAGATCAGTGATAGGGTACTGCACTTTGCTTGGAGGTTGTTTGCTAACATGGAAATCTAAGAAACAAACAACAATCTCAAGATCATCCTCTGAAGCTGAGTATAGAGCCTTGACATAGCTTGTTTTGTGAACTGGAATGGTTAAGGAATCTGTTAGCAGAAATGGGAATCAAGGTTCCATTACCAATTGATGTTTTCTGTGACAATCAATCAGCTATTCATATAGCAGTAAATCATGTCTTTCACGAGAGGACAAAGCATATTGAGATTGATTGTCAAGTTGCTAGAGAAAGGCTTAAATGTGGAATGATTAAACTGCAGCATGTGAGAATTGATGACCAGTTAGCAGATTTATTCACCAAAGGATTGACTCATTGACATGTACTCGCCAACTTATGAGGGAGTAACAAAGCAGAAAGATTGCAATGAAGCTGATGGAAGGAAAGTTGTAGAAGTGATCCAAGAGGAGCAGCTGAAGAACAGAGCAGAAGACAAGCAGAAACATTTCGTTTCTTCCTTCCCCTCCACCTAGCTTAAAGCGAAGGTTGAAATGGTGACGTAGAGACCAACACTTACCATTAGGTGGAGACCAAGAGGGCCAGCCTGACGAGGACATGTGGCATTCTCATTTTTGTTTTAGTTTAAATTACAATTTAACAGACATTTTCATGTTTTATTGTTTACTGTAACTTTAGCTTTCTGAACGTTGGTATAAATAGAAGAATGAGAGGCTTTGCAATTTGCTGGTTTCGAAATAATCATTGCTCGCATTCTTCTTCTCCCTTACAACCAGCTGCAACCCTAGCAGCTTGGTTTCTCTTACCATCATCCTCACAGTCCTCGTCGCTAGGCCGCCGAGCAGAAAAGCCGACCCGCAAGAGAAGATGAACTTTTCAACCCTCGCCGTTGACCCGACGGCGACATCGCCTTCAGCTAGTTGACCTACGACTCTCGACCCGACGACACCGTTTCGCAATCCAACAATACAAGCCGACTCTCTGCCGCCGGTCCGGCGAAGAAGGCCGTCGGATTTTGCCGCAAAGCACAGGATCGAGCGGCTGAGTACGAAAGCCCGCTGGAGAAGAGACGAAGAGTGGTGGTCGCAGTCGAGCCAGAGTGTCGGGCCGCCGAGATCGACTACGAGATTGATGGGTTGGAGCATATCGGAGCTGTGGATGGCGGTGGTGTACTGGAGAGTGGCGGGGTCTTTGGAGACGGGAAAAACGAATGGGTTTGGGAAAGGATCGGAAGAAGAAGAAATCAGAAGGGAGGTGGAACGAAGAAGAGACACAATAGACGACGGCGGGGGAGTTTGATGAATGAGTTCAGGTGTTTGATAAAGGTGAATTGGGAATTGGTGGAGGAAGGAGGTGGGATGCGGGGGATCGACGCTCGCAGATAAACTAATAAAGGGAAGGAAACGGATAATAACTTGGGAAATTGGCTGACTTTCTGTTGATTGGAATTATACCCTTTGTATCAACAATTCTTTCTCCCACGAGCTGGTTTGTGATTGTGAAGGTTGGAGTAACGTATTGCTGACTCAGGTCGTTTGTTGTGTTTGGATAAGGGCTGTTGTCTAAGTGTCTAACCCCCACTCACATTGGTTCACCTCGCCCTGTTCACTTCCATTTTCGTTTCCTGTTTTCTGTTTTCATGTGATAAATTTGGCAACCGAAATGAGAAAACTTGTTTACTTTTCATTCTGTTTTCTATTCGTTTCCAACTATGAAAACAGAAAGTGGCAACTTCCTGCTGTTTTCGGAAACGACAAAATGTTGTTTTCACCTGTTTTCAACATCTGTTTTCTCAAAAACAGGAAACAGAAATGAAAGTAAACAGGCCCTTAGATGGACCAAAGGTAGTTAAAGCTCCGGACCCACTTGCCGGTTCAAATTTCTGCGTAGGCGTAGCTAATAATAAATTGGAAAAAGATTTTTGGGTGGGCTTATCCAGGTTTGGGCCTTCGTGTCCGCCGGGAATTAAATGGGCTTATGACTTTTTTTACCTAGTTCAAATTGGATTGCTAAGTGGTAAACTAAAAAGTGAAATGAAGATGAAAGAAAGCATGTTCTCGACCACAAATCATTAATAATTCATTTAACAATTTTCTTTAAAAGAAAGCATGTGAAAAGAATATGTTTCTCGGTTTAATTAATAATCCCAGCATACCAACAATTTTATATTTCGCGCATAAAGCATCTTAAAAACCTTCACATAATATTTTAATCACAGTTCCATTAGTTTAACCTAAAGCCCACGTAAGAAAGGATTAGATCGAATCTAGGAGGTCACTTTCCCAATTATAAACTGTAAAAAAAAACCCAAAAGTCTTTGAAAATTCATTTAACAACGCTTTTATTTTATGTCACCTCACATGGCTGGAAATGGCACCACAACTATATCAAACGAATCTCCGCATAATGCCATATGATCCCCCTCATATTTAAATCACAACTCAAGAGCTAAAAACAAATGCAAACAGATAAGCAGATTCCCCCAAAGTTGCCATTTTTGGGTTCATCAACCACACAATTCCCTGATTCCTTTTGGTTCAGACATTGGAGGTAAAGTTAAAATTGGCGCAAGTAGTCTGCCTGAACAACAACGAAGAGCTGAACCCAAGCCTCGACGCCGCAAGATCAAACTGCAACAGATTATCCTCCACCTGATGCCCACCAATCACAATCGAAGTCCTGGGATTCACTCCACCATCCACAACTCCCAGGCAGAGAACGTCTCCCTTCACTTGAACCATCGAATTCGCACCGAAAATCCTCCAGAACACCTTGCTACTCTGCAGCACCAGATCGATCTGCGGCACCGCGGGCCCGACTCGCGTGCTCCCAATCGCCGTCGCGTTGTAACACAGCTCGAACGGGCTCACCCCTGCCACTCTAGGCACTCCACTCAGCTGCTTCGCGAAACTGGCGATCACCGCTCTGTGAATCGAAGTTTCGAGGACGGTGTGTGGCTGAACGGTGCTAATCTTCGTCCCCCCAAAACCCTCTTGGTTGATTTTGAGCAATGTTGTGTTGAGGGGAACAATTTTGTTGTTGATTTTGATTGAGGTGACTCCGATGAAGTAGTCGGAAGATGGGTCGCCTTCGAAGTAGGCGGCGGCCGTGCTGACCTTGTTGAGAATCAATGGCGTATAGATTAACGACTTGGAGATATCAATTTTGGGTAGCATCACATACGGCCCGTCTCCGAAGAAGACAACACCTTTAGCGGAACTCAAGCAAACTGCAAATTTTCTGTGGAAGCTGAATGCGGCAGAGAATCGGGAAGGCATGGCGATTTTGTTCCGGCCTAGACCAGCCATGCCCTTGACACCCTTTGCAAGTCCTTCTAGCAAGAATGTGGAGCCACAAGTGAAGAGAAAGTTTGGCACTTTGACGATCTGACCCGGGTTCGACCCGGTGGTTGATTGGATCGAGACGACATCCTGACCGAGATCGCCCGAGGTAGCGGTTTGGGTCACGGTGTTGCCGGGTAGCAGGCCACATGTGTTGTTGTTGCAGCCTGGTTTTGGGGATGAGAAGCACTCCGTGGTGCAGCTTTTAGAGTTGGCTAGTGAGCATTGAGCCGATCTGCAACGGGCCGGTTTGTAAGATGACGAGACATAGCCCTGTTCGCAGTCGACCCAGAGGTACTGGCCGCCGAGGTCGAGGGTTAGCTTGACAGGGACTAGAGGAGTTCTCTGGTTGATTTGGGTGAGGTATTGGAGGGTTGATGGGTCTTTGGTGACAGGGAGGATTAAGGCTTTTGGGCGGAATGAGGGCTGGGATTGAGATGGTGCAATGTAGAGGAAGAAGAAGAGAATGCAGGAAATGAGAAGGTGGTTAGAAGAAGGAGCCATGGCTATGGTGGATATGTGAAAGATGGGTTTCTAAGATGTACTTATAGTGGTTTTTCTGTACAAAGATGCCAGCTTTTTGCCACATCTCAATTATTATACTATACCAAGCTGGTATTAAAGATTGACCATGACTTTATATTAAACTATGGATCCATGGCTTCTTTCAATTGGGACCATGTTTATCTGTATAATACTCTGGGTTGTTGAAACTTGGAGTTATGTGGTCAACCAAGCCAAGTCATTGAATAAAGAAGAAAGATAGAAAAGCAAGGTCATATGCACCTTCTAATGTTTTGAGCTAAAGTTGAACAACCCAGTTCACTCCCAAGGAAAGTCATAGACATCCCCTGTTCCAAAAACCAGTGGCTCTTCCTGCTGCAGAATTTGCCATATGACTTTGAAGGTGATTGTCACTTCTATAATTTAGCTTCCCAATTTTATTTTCATATATGTAAACCGTATCTCTATATCAGCTAGTTTTGGACCTGCGAATTGTTTTTTGTAAGGATAACAACAATATTTTTAACAAGCATGACACTGTTGCGTATTATGGTGAGACAATACTAAACAATATTGGTATAGTTTAGTATAATAGGAATGTTTCCCGTGATATATTGTGAGCATGAACACGTCTTCTAAGTAATAAACTTTCTTTTTTAAATGTATAGAAATGAATATCATTTTTATTCTTAGATCACACAAAATTTGATAATTGATTTATCACAAGGGGTATGTTGGAGGTTACAAAATAAATGAATGTGGATTTTGAAATACCAGATAAGGGGTTTTTTTAGTTGATCATGTTTAGGGTTCTTTGGAAAACTCATTTTTAATTGGATGCAAAATTTTGGATCTTTTTATGTAGACAAAATAACTATTGAGTATTGATTTCCTTATTGTTTTTTTTTTTTTTTTTAGAGAAGATTCCCTTATTGTTTTGAGGACTTATGAATAGGTGGATAGATTATGGAGTTATCAAAAGAGTAATAGAGAGACAAATAATTATTGAAGTATTATTAGGAATGTTAGATGGTTGATTGAAATAATATGTATTAAGATTGTAAAAAATAAATCTAAAAATCGACAAGAGAGAAAGATGATGTTGCTTTTAGTATAAAAATTAATTTTTAGGTACCAAAATGTAAAAAATAAAAATAATAGGTACTAAACCGTAATTTGCCAATGATCCATGGATTCAATCCATGAATCTACCAATCCAATTGGATTTGGATCAAATGGATTGGATTAGTTGGATATTTTTAATGGATTGATGGATTGGATTGAGAATTGCCACCTCTATTTCTAGTATTTTGTAGATAAATTTGCTTTCTATTTTGTTTGGGTTTAAATTGGTTCCTACCTAAATTTATAATCTACTCTGACCAACCTAATATGAATTAAACTAATAGGGCTCTAATTCAATTTATTAGTTTGAATATGGTATTATTTAAACCGAAGTATATGGGTTTATGGAAAAACCAAACCATCTGATAACATTCAAATTATAGTGCTCTCAATCTCCTATATTTTATATTTTCACTTTCTAACAACGCATTTTTAGTAGTTTTTGCTATATGTTTTATGAATTTATTAACTATTTGGCCAATATGCTTTTTTTATCTTGAGTTTGTTTAGTATTCTCTTATACCTTTTTGGTATTATTTTATATTTTTCATGGTAAAATATAGTCACATATTCAGATAACCTATTGGATGACGTTTAAGGATTAAAGGGTTAAATTCTAGAAGATTAAGGATGTTTTTTATATAAAATGGAGTCCAAATGAACGAAAATCCTACTTGAAGTCATTTAAACCCAAGAGAAGCTTGTTGGAAAAAATCCAGAATAAATGGAGGAAGCCCACCATTGCTGGTCAAAGCGCCTTTCCACCACCATTGGATCAAGCAAGCCCAAATTCATCTAGGAGCTTTCCCCTGGGCCAAGCAACCCAAATCCATGAAGAAATCAACGACAGGTCCAACCACCATGTGACTGCCGCCAGCCCTAGGGTTCTTGAATCTTTTAGAAGCTTCTTTCTTTCTTTTCAAGTCAAGGAATCCGACTTCAAGTCAAACAATTGACCTTTTGGCCGAGTTTATGAAGGAAAAACCCATTCTTAAATTGTATTATAAATAGAGATTTAGACAAGAGTTTTATATACACAATAACTCATATACCAGACACCCTACAAGATACAAGTTGAAGACTCGGGGCTTCAACCCTCGAGTAGGTGGGGATAAACAAAACTTTATCTAAGGTTCTTACCTTTCCTTGAAAGAAAGGTTTTCCATCGGTTGATTCTGTTGTGTTTCTTATGGTTAGCTAAAGTCTTTGTTGTTTAGGGATGTGAAATCTATGATGCTTCATGCATCACATTCAATGATATAATGATATGCTTGTTGTATTTCATGCATTTTATCATTTATTATGTGCTATTTTGGTTTTGATTATAATACCATCATAAGTTTTTAGGAAACTCCTCTTATATGGTATGCTATTATCCTATGCATGTATGATTGATTGGAAGTGATTATAGAGGTCCTAGATAGCAACGTGCTATGCTTACTTCCTTGTTCTTGATCGATTAGTTAGTGGCATGAAGCAAAACCACGGATTAACTAGTTGTAGTTCCTTTTGCATATGACGAAAACTCGATTAGGAAAGCATTAGTAAAAGGGATATTGCATCATAATAGAAGAGATGTATGGATGCATATCAATCATAAGTTAGTATGCATAATCCTGGGGTAAAATACCTCGGATACCACTTAAGTTTCAGAATTGGGGTATGCATACCACTTAAGTTTGAATAGGGCGTCGGGTACCACTGAACTCTATTATTTGTGCACCCGGTACCACTTAAGTTTAATGTTTAGTGCATTCCGTTAAAGTTGATAGAATATTCTGTTTTCTAAATTTCTTAATTGGTCCTTCTACTTTTCTTATTGTAAATTATCATTTTTTACTTATGAAAAATATTAATTTTTATTATTTAATTGGTATCCTCTTTTGAAAACTTTATACCAAATTAATTTTTGAATAGAAAATTTAAAATCAATTATTATTATAAGTATTTTCAATTATTATTATATTTTCTAATAATTGAATTATTCTATCTTTTTTTTAAAAGCTTTTGGTACCAAACCAATTTTTGAATAGGAAATGTAGAATCAATTATCATTATAAGTACTTTAAATTACCATTATGTGTTATAATAATCGAATAATTTGCTTAAGCAAATATATCCTATGAATTCTATATCGATATAAATAATATGAGGATGTTATATTGAATTCTCGTACATCATTTGGATGTTGTATAATTTTCTTGGTTACTTTCATTCTATTTTCGTTCTAAATTATCTTCAATTACTGTAATATGTTTAATTCTTTCTAACTATGTTCCATTTATCATTCTTTGGTCTTGATGTATTGATGATCGATTAGATTCTATTTTAACTATTTTTAATGGTACTTCTTATCGGATTAGTGATTTAAATAGATCTTCTAATATTGATTTTAAATATTTATTATTATATTCTATATATTTGTTCTTCTTCTTGATATTATTAGTTTTACTAACTTATCTATTTTATTGAAAATTTTGATTAGTAATTTTAGTAATATAATGTTTAGAAGGTTTTTTAATTTCTATATTAGATAAAAACTTGTTGAAATATAGTTTTGGATGTTTTTAAAAGTTTTGGGTACCAAAAAGTAATTAAAATTTTGGGTTGGATGGAAAACTAGACGGATGCACATTTTGGTGACTTTAATGGTACCTGACGTCCTATTCAAACTTAAGTGGTATGTCTGCCCCAATTCTCAAATTTTAGTGGTACCGGAGGTATTTTACCCCATAATCCTGTAGATGAAACTAACTAACCAATAATTTTATCTTATATATCTATCCTCATTTATTTCCTCGTTTATTTACTTATAAAATCAACTATCAATGGGAAACCTCAACCCATCGTGTTTACCTTTTATTACATCTTTGTTCGAGCATAAGTATTTAGTTATAAAGTAGTTACTATTGAAAGACAAATAACCTAGACAAATAACCAATAGTATTTAGTACTTTGTAATATACTACAATCGCATCACCACTCAACTCATTTGTGTCTACCCTACAGGAGAGGGCGCAATCGTTTGAATGAGCTAGATAAGAAAGAAATATAATAATTAAATATGTTTCTTAAATCTCAACCAATAAATATCTTTAGACATATCTTTATTCTCATATACAGATATCATGTTGTTCATCCTTTCCTATCTCATTTGTTCCATTTGAATAAGGTTACAAGGGTGTCTACCGTGTTCTAATCAACAAGAATATCTTATTCTCGGGAGGATAATTTCACATGATTCAAATCCTTAATGATGTGTGGCCTTTGCAAAGACATGCTGCTCTTACCATTATGAATTTGATCATGGTTCTAACCATGTGTCCGAATTTGACCATCGTTCTAACCATTTTCTCCCAGCATCTCTGTGCTTGATGACGGTGTTTCTGAAAAGACCAGGTTGTTCAGTGCACCACGGCTAATGCAAAGCGCAGACTTGAGATTGGGTCGTGCTTCTCATGCCTCTTTTAGTATGATACTTGGCGTTTGGACCTGCCTTGCTGATATGGCTCACCGGTTATTCCTACTTTTCCTCCCTGTTCATCGCTTACGAGTTATTGCCACTTTTGTAATAAGTAAGGATAGATTATTGGCCATTGTGTCTCCGCTACTATATGTCGCCAGCCTTTCTGAGTTGCAGGTATAGGTTATGAAATCAACAGTTTTGTGTCTTCTTTTAGATGTTCATCGTTCTTTTCTACTGTTCAGTTTTCTTTTGGAAATTGCTCTATAATTTCTCATACTTTGCTATCCAACCTTTTCTTACCACATTACTATTATGGAATACAGCTATTGGGAATGGTGTTTATAAAGTCTTACAAATTACAAAGGCTAAACTCAATAATGTCAGGAAAGACAGAGCAATTGATGGGGGAAAGCGAGCAGGGAAACCTCCGATTGAGAAGAGTCTATGCTTGGAAGGTAGGAAGGGCAAATCTCAGCGAGAGAGGGTAATGGTGAGGAACAATGGTGGCACCAACTTGTATACTTGCTCTCTTTTTCACTCTAGCAATGGAGACGGCGACGGGTATTCTGCAACCTAAGACTAAATCACATTTGCCCGTTGTCGTTGGTCTTGTTGGTTGTTGGGCTGCACCTCTTGTAGGGATGGCAATTTCGACCTGACCCGATTTACCCGACCTGTTTGACCTGTTTTGGGGCAGGGAGGGAGCACACCGGTATGGGTATCGAGATACCCGCCCCGGACCTGCCCCTTTGCCATTCCTAACCTCTTGTACGAACTTCAGCCTTAACTCTCTCTTTCTCTTTTAATGAATTATTCACCTTCATAAGTTTTTTTACTGCATTCTTGTGTGGCTGTCTCAAGCTGGATTAATTTATCATGATAGTGAGGGTTATTTGGAGTAGGCTAAGGTCCTTTCTACTAGAAGGAAGGCTTGTGCAAAGATTTGAAGATTAATATAGAACCTTGTAGTAAGTATGATGTGGAGGGAGAGATGTAGTAGAGTACTTGAAGACTCGGGAGTAGATCCTCAGGTGATAATCTATAATTTTTTTGTTTTAGTATAGAGTGCTAGTATTAGTTGTATAACAATGATAGTTGATGTAATGATTTTGAGTGATTCATTTGGATCGGAGCTTATTCATCATATATACAAAAAAAATTTATAAGATTAAAAACTTAATTCATATGGTTTGAAGTTAAAAATGGCTCAATTGACTTTCCAGAAAAATAATAGTATTTGAAAAAATTTAATTTATTCTTTACATCTTCAAAAGTGTGCCTAAAATATGCATTTGGAATTTGAAGAAATTAAGTGATGTAATTTAAGTTAGAAGATCTAAAAAAAAGTAAAGCATAAAAGTTAAGTGACTTAATCCATTTTAGCAAATGCCAAAAGGTAAAATGGTAGAGGGAAAATAGTAAAAAGTGATAACACTAGTTATTGAACCTGCATCAAGCTATGCGGAAGGGTGATATTTGCAGGTGATGCAAATGATGTTATGGATAAAGTTCGGATCAGAGGTGTGTCGGGCCATTTTAGCAACATTGTTGTTCTTCAGGAGTATTTTAAGCTTTTTAATGTTTGCTTTATTGGTCAGAACAATAATAGGGTTGCTTCTTTGGTGGCGAAAAAGGCTCTTCTTTATTCTCAAGTTTATTAGAGTTTGCTTTTATGTCCTAGTTCAGGATTTTGTATTGACTATTCAAAAAAAAAAATTTTTTGCTCGTTAATACAAGTGATCTAATAGAAAAAAAAAAATACATCATGCCCTTCTCATATTATGCAAAATACACAACACTATATGTTGAACTAATAAAGAATATTTTGATGTAGTAATACATTTAATTTATACATAACTTTTAAAATAAAATGTTTTCATAAAATTTTCAAAATTCTCAATAGATTCGCTCCGGTCACGACTCCAATAACAAAGGTAAACAAAATCTCTTTCACTCCTGTTGCTCGACATCAAAATCATCAATGAGTATCACCATAACATACATGGTGATCGTTGCCCAAAATAAACCAAACCCAAAGTTGGAATCTTTTTTCCACAACACTGAACAGTAGCCTAAATTCAACACACTACAACTCCCTCAATCCTTTTGGTTCAAGCAGTAGAAGTGTAGTCAAAATTGGCACAAGAAGTCTGCCTAAACAACAAAGAAGAGCTGAACCCAAGTCTCGAAGCCGCAAGATCAAACTGCAACAGGTTATCCTCCACCTGATGCCCACCGATCACAATCGGAGTCGTGGGATTCTCCCCGCCATCCACAATACCTAGACAGATCACATCTTCCTTCACCTGAACCATCGAGTTCCCGCCGTAAATCCTCCAGTACACATTGCTGCTCTGCAACACCAGATCAATCACTGGCACTGCCGGCCCAACCGGTGTGCTCCCAATCGCGGTCGAGTTGTAACACAGCTCGAACGGGCCAACCCCTGCCACTGTAGGCACTCCACTTAGCTCCTTAGCAAAAACGGTAACCACAGCTTTGTGAATGGAAGCGTGGAGTACGGTGTACGGCTGGACAGTGCTCATCTTCATCCCACCAAAACCATATTCGTCGAATTGGAGCAGAGTCTTGTTGAGTGGGACATTTTTGCCGTTCACTTTGATTGAGTTCACTCCAATGAAATAGTCAGACGATGTGTCGCCCGCAAAGTGGGCGGAGGCAGTGCTGACGTTGTTGAAAATCAATGGAGTGTAGATCAATGACTTGGAGATGTCAATATTTGTTGGTAGCATATTATATGGCCCATCTCCAAAGAAGACAACTCCTTTACCAGAACTCAAGCAAATTGCGAACTTTCTGCGGAAGCTGAAGGCGGCAGAGAACTGGGCAGGGAGGGAGATTTTGGTCCAGCCTAGACCAGCCATGCCTTCAACCCCCTTTGCAAGTCCCTGTAGCATGAATGTGGCGGCACAAGTTAAGATAAAGTTTGGAACTTTGACGATTTTGCCAGGGTTGGACCCATCGGTGGATTGGATCGTGACGAAATCCTGACCGAGTTGACGCAGCGAGTAGGTTTGGCTCACCGTGTTGTCAGCTATCAGACCACAGGTGTTGTTGTAGCTCCCGGGTTTGGGGGATGAGGAGCAGCATTCTGAGAAGCAGGTTTTTGTCTTTGCAAGCGAGCATTGAGCAGACCCGCAAAGAGCCGGTTTGTAGGACGATGAGAGATAGCCTTTTTCGTAGTCGACCCAGAGGTACTGCCCTCCGAGGTCGAGAGTTAGCTTCACCGGGACAAGAGGGGTTCTTTGGTTGAGTTGGGTGAGGTACTGAAGGGATGATGGGTCCTTGGTAACTGGGAGAATTAAGGCTTTTGGGCGGAATGAGGGCTGGGATTGAGATACTGTCATGAAGAAGAACAAAGAGAGAAGGAAGGAAATGAGGTGGTGGTTAGAAGGGGCCATGGGTATGGTGTTCAAGGTGGTGGATGTGTGAAGATTTGTTTCAATATGGTCTATTTATATTGGATTTTTTTTTTCCAAACGTGCCTGCTTTTTGCCAGATCCCAGCCATTGTAGTACTCCAAGTTGCTGCAAAAAATTGACCATCAATTTGCATTAAACTATGCATCTTTTCATTCGAATGGGAGCATGTCTATCCATTTAACACGCTTTGGCTAATGGAAGACAAGTGATACCCACACATGTTTCATGACTTTACATAATTACATTAACTATGCCACATCTTTTATTCGATTGGGACATATCCCTTTACCAAGCTTTTGAGGTCAAGTTGAAGTGGACACAACCACAACCAATACGATCAGCCAAAAGTATAGGACTACTGATCAAACTGCACCACAGCAACAACACATTCTATACATAGTGCAGAGAACTCAGTGTCAAGAACTCGAACCAAAGTAGACCACAAGCTACCACCAGTTCATTTATTTACTGGAGCTGAGCCATTCGTATAGGGGCCTTGTATTAAGTACAGGATTATTACCTATCTTGAACAATAGCTTCGGGGAGCTTCATTGGGTATTAAGACTATATTTCTACCTTCACATGAACAAAATGTTGTTGTGTTGTTTGCGGCCTTTCAATTCTCTGCTTCCTCAGGCTGTGATTCAAGAAACTGCCTTATTTTGGATCGCTCTGCCCTTGTCAGGTAGGGATCGTCACTCATCACCCTCTTCCATAGTTCGGCTCTATCAGCATCCGTATCATCGATCACCTATGCACGTTAAAAAGTATAATCGTAGCTAAAAATCAAGGAATTCCAATGTTTCTGTAGGTTTGGACCTACTGGGCAAATCTACCAGGTAGTTGGTTGGAGTGTTTGGAAGAGTGAAGCGCCTCAAGTTGGATGAATTGAGATGGTCCTAGAATGGACAGATTACCCATCTGGAAGTAATCCATCTGGAAGTCCTATTTCAATGAAACACTTGAATTGGGAGGAGAGGGGGTTCGGAAGAGTGTACCTCGATATAGTTGTTCACATGACCATCTTTGTTGGGAGAAGTAACTAGTTCATTTTTGTTGATTGTCCATTCACCATCGACGATGTACTTGTACTCGTACCGTCCTTCCTGTTGATGAATGTAAATAGACAGACAATCTTTATGCACTTATTTATATTGTTCATCAACAAGAACTCCGTTGATGTATCAAATTTGACAATCAGACATGGCTCATGCTGGATCTCTCTCAAAAAACAGTTATCTGTTGTGCTGAGATCTAATAGCATACAACATTAATGTTAAGCAGACATAATCTTTATGCACTTATTTATAGTGTTCATCAACAAGAACTCCGTTGAAGCAGCTATTTTTCTTTGATAATCTTTGACAATCAGACATGACTTATGCTGGATCTTCCTCTCTTAAAACAGTTATTTGATGTGCTGATATCTAATACCATAGAACATTAATGTTAAGGAGGAAGATGATCTGCCTCCCTGAGAACCGAACGATAGAACAGAGATCTCAATCAAGAACACCTACCAACAGTTCCCTTTCAAGAATCCACATGCCTTGTTCAGCATCAAGTCTCAAAGGAATTCTCTGCAAATAAAATGAAGGGAAATTTCAGGACGAAGTGCAAGAAACTTGAACTTATTCAACCATCAGCTATACAAAGTTTGGAATGTTTCTCTGAAACGTAAATTCCATTGACAGGTCATCATAATAACTAATTCTTCATAATAACTTATTCAACATGAATATGCCAGATATAGAAGATCATCCTATTCTTACTGCAATTCATGTCAATGTAAGCCGTATTAGCTAATAGGTCACATGTAGACAGGCAAGTTTCTCTAACTGCAGATATGCATAACCAAAAGCAAACGCTATTTGAGAGAGACAGGATGTTTCAATCCCAAGAGCTTTAGTCAATATACCTGACCCCAACCAATATCAAGTCCAGAAATTTCCACAGAAGACAAATTGTCATCTTTCCATGATAAAGTCACAGGCTTCTTCCTCATTCCTGCAAGCTTTCGGCACAAGAAAGCTGAATTAATAAACTTGCAACAAATTACTGAACGTTCTGTGAGAAATTCATAAAGAAGAATCTAGTAAAGGATACCACTTGCTTGTTAGTTAACTCTAACAAAGACTTCCAAAGCAATAAAGCATGCAACCGGGAACAATATTTTTCATTGGTTCAATATGGCTGCATTTTAATTAGTTTCAACTGGTCATGAGACTTAATACACTAAATCATTTACTTCGCCATGCAAGTAACAAAAACTAGAGAAGTACGGGAGATTGATATAGCTGAGTGGCCAAGCAATTTTCATTTTAGCACGAGAACATAAAATTTTAAGAGGGAAGACTTACTATGTCAGCAGTGGCACTCTTGATAGCTTCCATCTTCGGGAAGCAAGAGCGTTTACTCTACGAAAAACAAAAACAAAAAAACCCTACTTGAAATATGCAAGGGAGTACTGCTTCGCACTGTCTAACATCAAGACAAAGTAATTCATTCCGTCAAGAAGTTCACATGTTAGATATTGCTCTATTATTGAACAACACTTTCACCTTTTACCATGACTCGGTGACTGAAAGCAAGCATTCAGTTTTATATCATAATTAAGCTCATGCCGTACAATAAGAACATTGAATGCTATACATGTTGAGGCCAAAGATGACTTGTCCTTCCTAATTTGAAACAACTTCACCAAAGTATAGCAATCCAGTGTAATAAATACAAATAGTGCACTTACTACAAAATGATATAGAACTCAGACCTAAAAGGCTAAAACCACACAAACTTATAATGTAATAAATACCAGTGCTATGGTTTCACAAGGATACAAAAGTAAAACGTTACAACTTACCAAAAGCAGATCATGAGCTTCCTTAAGTTTGTAGCCTTGAACCCAGAACATGTATGCCATCTGAAATCCATGTGAGGTTATTAAGTAGAGAATGGATAAGTCAACAAAACATAATGATTTCAGTAAAACAACTGCAAGTGACAGCAAGCAATCCAGGAGCGTAACAACAAAGTTTGAGAATCTAGAGAAGCAATTCAGAATCACATCCACCATCTTTTAATTAAACTTGATAGAGTGGCAGAGGAAGGTGTGTAAAATAAATTATTCAGAAACAAAACAGACATGCATACCACCACAGCAGGAGCTCTTCCCAGTCCAGCAGTGCAGTGAACATATGCCACACCTCCATTCTGGTTTATAGCTTTGTATAATGTGCTGATTACAGCAGGAAGCCGCACCCTCAAGTCAAATGAATCGAAGTCCCTGTTTCACTATTGTTAGCTGCTTTCTAAGGTAATAATATCCATCAAAATTCAGTTTCTCTATAAAGTCTTAAGATAAATACAGAAGCAGAAAACAAAGAGAGAAATGAACGCTTCAAATATTGTCAACAACTCAAACAGATTTTTGCAGAGGATGTCGCAGTTGTTCTTAGAGTAGCATATATATCATCATAAAAGGAGAAACATGGTTCTGAATGAGAGCACCTTATTTGTTCGCGCAAATGCTGTACATCTTCAAATGACTTAGCATACTGCCGAATGGCACCAATATCTACCCCAAAGTATCTGGAAATGCTAGTAAAGGAATCTTAATGTTTTCATATGCATACTCAACATCGTTTTAAATTCTTCTTGGTCATGATATCATCAATAAAAAAAGTCACTAATCCACAAGAAAATTGTAAATTTCTCCTTTCAGATTTCCCAAACTGAAATTGAAATCAATGTCTACTTAGGATACTCCAAGTCTGGATCCTGCTGCAAGCAAAATATCGTTTTAACTCCAATGTCCCGAAGCTTATCAACATCTGCTGGTGTCTAACAATTTGGGTTCAAAATAGAAAGTGTCAGCACCATTTAAGTAGACATAAAACCCCATAACATATACAAACAAAACAAATAGAAAGGATTAGCAATCAGGAAAAAGCAAAAACCTGTAGGCATGATCCACAAATCAAGTCTGGCCGGATGAAGTTGTAATTCATTCCTAGCTCATGTCTGTAAGTCAAAACTGCATTCACAAAATATTAGCATCCCGAAGAAATGACCATGAGAAGACAATCAGTCATGAGTAATTGGTCCATATGACCGAAGAAAAATTAAGCGAGACACAATGAACTTCTCGTGTTCAAACAACCGCAAGGTACATTCAACTGACCAGCACCCATCGCTTCTGTCATGTTGTGACTGTAAACGTCAGATTTTCCTTCTTCACCCTTCACATCTGCATCACTTTTCATAGCACTAGATGTTGATCCAGATATTGCCTACATAAAGAGTTGGATTGATCATTCTGAGACCACCTTCTCGACAGAACAATTGCAGGACAGCCAACTGCTAGTGCATATTCCAGATGACCCCAGAAACAAAACATAGGTAGTTTGTTCACATTCTCAATTCTAGTCACCATGACTACAGTTACTCTTATATTCAGAAGTGGTGCCAATGCAAAAACAAATAAATAAACAGACCCAAGATTAGATCTCATAAACGATTTTCAAAACGGATTCCATGTCCAGCAGATTTCAGAGAAAAGGAAATACAAATTCCAAACAGGGGAAACAAAAAGTTGAAAACTTCAAGAGGGGTGCCTACCTTCAAGGAGAATCGACGGTGTGGCGCATGAGAATTCGTCATGTTCTGTGATCAAATCACACAACGTCAGAGAGCTCTCGAGTAGGCCATGCCACTGGTAAAAAAACAAAACGATGGAAGGGGAATGAAAGTGGAAGCAAAGGAAGGGGGAGCGAACCACAAGATTTGCGGAGGACCTCATTGAAGGCTTCCCCTGCCGGCATTCGGAGCTCCACCGAGGCAGAGCAGAGGATCTGCAGTTCTCCAAAGAAGAAGGAACATTTCAGCTCTTTGCCATTCAATAAACGAATAGCAACGCTCGGGTTCAGAAGAAGAGAACTTTGGCATGTACCTGGGAAGATAGTTGACGCAATTCATCGAAAGCAAGCTAAGAAATATCTGAGCGACAGAGAAATGGTAGCGGTCAGAAGTGGGTAGTGTTCACCTTTCTGTTTTATTGATCTCTGATGCTTGGTTTAGGTGACAGGAAAAGGGGATTGGCTTTTTGAGAGATCTTCCTCTCCCCCATTATTAACAAAAATACCTCAAAGATACGAAATAAAGGGGGAAAAGGAAAATAATAATAACCCAAAGTGAGCCGAAAATATCTAAATACAGTTTGGAATCAAAATCAGCACGCCTCAAAGAGCCACCACCACCTTACTGCACAAATGTCGTCCTTTTCCTTGCGAGTAGATGAGAAATCAAAGCAAGTTTGGCTGTAATGAGCAATGGATCTCAATAGATGTCACTCAGATGTGTGCATCGGCCGAACTCCGTAAACAAATGTAACTTGTTGCTGGTTTCAACAGAGTATTCACGGAACCCCCAATTGCCCGCTCAATGAGCCACTTTTTCTCCGACACCGATAATCTGGTCCGGATTCCGAGCATTGCATGCAGCTCTACCTTCCTCGGAACGGATGGTCTCCTTCTACTTTGTTTGATTGATTCCCTTTCTTTCCCTGTTTAACATTCCTATCCACTGTAGCTGGATTTGCGTACTCCCGTCTCAAGGAGGTAACTTTCTTATCAACCATTAACCAACCTTCTGTCGTTTAACCCAGATGGCAGAATCTTTCACACCAAAATCAGATTGATGCATTATGCTGGAAAGTTGCATGCTTTTTTTCCGAGAATTTTCCGTTCAATTATTCTTATAAACATTTGTTTCTTTTACTATGATTTCCCCCATCTTTTCTCAATACCGTTCAGGTGCTTTGTCATTTTACATGGCTCCTATAATTTATCAATGTTCATTTAGCATTAGTGAGCCATCAAAGCCTACTAAACCATAAGTGAGAAGAAACTCATAAGCAGGCAAAATTTTATCAAAGTTACCGTTCACTGAAAGTTGAAGCACTTGAAAGCATGGATATGGGGTGTGGTTGAAGCTAGTTTGTTTCTCCCCCAAACAACATACTTCTCTGAGAATTAGCTAGCTCGGACTTGGCAACCATGTAGGATAGTTTGAATACACGAAAACTAAAACGAGTTTTATCAAGTTATGGAGGTGTATGCCCTCCAAGGATGACGTGCATGCTAACTTTGTGAAGTACATTTTAAACTATCAAAGTCAAGTCATTAAAAAAAATTGTCTAGTTGCACTAATATAATCCATGCAGTTGAAGGTCTATCGGTAAGACCATTTCCAAGTGGCTATCGCCTGGTGGTGACTGCGCCGGAGGAGCAGGACAACTGGACGGCGTCAGCTGCTGCTGCTTGCCGCTACGCTTGGACAGAAAAATCCACGAGACCCGGGAGCTTCTTGCTCTGGACAGGTTTATCTCTGTGCTGGTCCTCTCTCGGTTACGGGGAAAAAAAGACAAGGGAAAATGATGATAACGGAAAGGAGAATAGGAGATAGGGGTAACGTAAAGTGGGTGGGGTTAATGGGAGGAGGGTTTTGGGTTTATTAAAAAAAATTTATTTTCCTTCCTTTTTGTTGGTTGCTGCTGGCAAAACAAAATATGTGGGAGGTGGGAATTATGATAATGATAATAATATTAACAAAAATAGTTATTATTATAATCTCTAGCATGTGGTTGAACCCTTCATATGTAACCGTCTACCGAATCGTTCGGTCCAACCTAGACCCAAATGTCGAGGTGTTACATTGGCGGCTACGGGCGGATGTCAAATGGCGAGTTGAATATCCACCGCCGGTGGGGCCATATAATAGCATATGGTTCTTGGTTGCTCCTCGAGGCCGCTCTAGCTTGAGGATGTTGATTAGCCGCCATATCGGCTTCACTTCCTTCCTCTTCAGAATCAAACTCATTCTCAACTACAACTTCCACTTCGGGACCAACTTGTTATTGTCCCCTCTCTTCTATCCTTCTTCTTGCCTCCGCTAGCTCCGTCTCACGAGCCAAGAGTCACAGAGTGCGGTGAAGATTCTCGTCTAGTAGCGTCAAAGGTGTAGAATTACTCCGGGTCATGCACCTCCCTGCATACACTCAAAAGAACCACAACTCTATCTAACACAAGCAAGATTCACAAACACAAAAGCGAAAAGTAAAAGCTAAAGTAACACCAAACAATCTTTTTAAAATAACACACTGTTTGGTTCCCCGGCAATGGCGCCAAAAACTTGACTCGTACTGAATATCACAATAAAACTCCCTATTAGTTCCCAATTATAAACCAATTAGGTGCAGTATAGAGAAAGTATGTTTAAATATCAACCTGGGTCGGTGTGTATACCCCTACTTTGATTGTTTGATATATTATCTAACGATTGGTTGTTTAATTGAAAATTATGATCTATTATTAAAGCGGTTGTAAAAGTAATTAGTTTTGACTCTTAAATGAGAAGGATTCACCCGGGTGTAGCTCCCCCTAACTCGCTACGATGACTTGTCGGAATGACTGAAATGTATGGTGGAGGTGATTGAGAACCGTAAGGGAAGTGTAGCTAGTGATGGAACATCACTCTCTCGGTCTTTAGGCCAGGGAATTCGGATTTAGCTACCAAGGTAGCTCTTTTGGCCTAATCGACTAAGGACTACCAAACCTTCACTTTCGAATCGGAATTCGGACGGCCAAAACACAATCAACCTAGGTGCCAACACAAAATGGGAGTGATGCCCTACATTAACCTAGATAGGAGACATAATTTGCTTAAGAAAACCAAGCTTTACAAGCCTCTTTAAGAAAAGAGAATTTTCTCTCTACTTAGTTTAGAATGGCAAATAGATTGATAGGCAAACACACAACACAATCTTCCATGAAAATACCTCCAAATTCATATTAAAACCACTGTTATTAAAACCGGGCTGGACCGAACGGTCCGACCGCGGTAAACCGGACCCAGCCAACTTTCCGGTTCCGATTGTCTGAAAACGCAAAGGAAACTCCCGGCCGGTTATTGACTGGTTCGACCGAATAACCGGCAAATCCGGATAAGCCGAACCGGCGGTTATAGCCCGCTATTGACATTTCTTTTTTTTTATTATTGTTATGAAAATTTATCTTTCTTTTTTCAAAACCGAGAGTTTAAATAAAAAGAGAAGGACAATATTTACTTTCCTTCTTCTTTTACCACTTCCCACTTTTATGGTTTCTCCTGCACCCATCCACCTTCCACAATTACACTCCATATTTATCCTTTTTATTCACTCTTCCCCCATTTACGTCACTCTCTTCTTCTCTTAATTCCTTCCCTCTTTTCTCATTTTAAATTTCTCCATACAATTTCTTAATTGCCCAACATAACCGCTCAAAATCAGAAAAGGTAAAAACTAAAAGAGTTAATACCCTAGTTTGGCCCGAAGTTTAGTCTAAGTGACAGTTTTGGTCCCATTTTTCAAATAAGACGTTTATGGCCCACTTTTGAAATTATTGTACAAATTTGGCCCGGAATTTGGGTTGACCGTTATAACTGACTGTCAAACATTTTCACTGTTAATGACTCAGCAAAATCTGCTGAGATGGCAACGACATGGTTGCCACGTCATTTTCACAAAAATAAAAAAATTAAAAATAAATAAAATTAAAAATTTGAAGAGTCAAGGTCGTCTTCTCCACTCTCCCTGTTCTGGTCCACAAGACCTGGATCTTCTTCCCCTGGCACCGACTGCTACTCTACTTCCACGAGAAAATCCTTTGGAGCTTGATCGGTTGGCGACCCACCCCAGCCGGCGAACTCCTCCCCGTTCGAATCCCCTTGGACGCCACGAAATCCACCAGCCTGCTCGCCTCTGCTTCCGACGAGAAGAACCCTTCCCTTATTTCTCCCAAACAATCAGTCGCTGTCATGCTCGCCTATGCTTTCGACGAAAAGTCGTCGCCGTTCTCTGCTTCTAATCTTTCCCCAGCCAGCCCGCGATTCCAAGAGAAGAAGAACGAGACTCGCCGCTCTCTGTTTCAGATCTTTGGCAGCCGGCGAGTTTGCTGCAAGAAAAATGGGACCCCAGAGCCCAGAGCCGTTTCCAGAGCCGTTTCCAGATCTCGTCTCCCATCCCCAGAGCCGTTTCCCCTAAGATTGAAATTAATGCAATCGATATTTGGACAAAGAATGAATCGAAATTAGAAAAGAGGGAAAAAAGGAACAATGAATTGAAATTGCTTCGCAGGGAGCGGTGGCGTCGAAGGTGAATGCCTCGAGGAAACTACTGGGTTCCTCCTCCTCGTCTCCCCGATTTCTTCTCTCCACCAGTTGCCGCCATCCTTGGATAAGAAGCAGCAGATCGATAGAATTAAGATTGTAAGCCACCTGCTCAGGATTAGGGGGGGGGGGGGGGTTATTGGATTTGGAATGGCGAAGAGAAGACTAGCCTGGGTATTTTTTGTTTTCCTCAGAGGTGTTTTTTTTTTAATTCCTTGGAGGTGTTTTTACGGAGGGCGGAGATGGAGAGTGATTCAAGGGATTTTTTTTCATTTTTAATTTTTTTTAATTTTTGTTGAGTCATTAACGATGAAAATGTTTGACCGTCAGTTTTAACGGTCAACCCAAACGCCGGGCCAAATTTGTCTAATAATTTCAAAAGTAGACCACAAATGTCTTATTTGAAAAATGAAGCCAGAACTGTCACTTGCGCTAAACTTCGTGCCAAACTAGGGTATTAACCCAAACTAAAAACCCAATCCATCGAATCAATTTTTCCATCTTTCTTTATTCTTATTTATTCATAAGGACTATAATTATATTTTTTAATCTTGAGTTCTTCAATTAAATATGTTAATAAGATATAAAATTCTCAATTTAAACATTAGTACTTATTTTTATATGTATCATGAAGTCATTTTTATTGTATTTAACAATATTATATGCCACCGGTTTTATGATTGGTTTTATACCGGTTAATCACCGGTTATCCGATAAACCTTAAACCTCTCACTAATCCGGTTCGTTGTCCGGTCCGGTTTTGACAACACTAATTAAAACACACCCATTCATAGACAATCATTCCATACAGTCAATCACATGGTAGAAGTTAGGGTTCACAAACACTCAAGTGAAAAGGAAAACTACTCCATGCTAGGAGAGGGGAAAACACAAGGAGAAAGAAGAAAAACCATCACGGAGATGCTTGAATCCTTCCTTATGTAGAAGAGATCTTCCTTTGGGGACGATTTTCCCATATCCTTGCCTCGTAGTGAAACCCTAGCTTCTTCTCTCTTCTTGCTCGCCACTTTCTTTCTCTAGAATGTTGAAGAAGAATATTTTCTCACTCAAGTTCTCCTCTCCCCTTTTTCCTTCAGCTCAAGCATCCTTTTATATAGAGGTCGGGCTCAACTCACGGTCCCAGTTCATGGTAGTGAACTCAAGGTGGGGACCATGATCTCAGGCCAAACACGCCGCTTCACTAATTCAGTTCACGTTCTTTGGCTTGGGTTCATGGTCATACGACCGTGAACTGACTTGAGTTCAGTAAGACCCAAAAATGGCGCTAGATGCCTGGCGTTTCACGGTTTACGGCTCCAGTTCACGGTCTTACTGACCGTGAACTCACTGCTTCCACCGTGATGTACTGCTGCCTCCACACTTTGACCCGATTTTGCGTTTTTTCTTCCAACTTTCGACTCTGGGGTTAGTTCCACCTGCTATAGACTGAAATACACTAAAACCAAACAAAACCCAGTGTAAAACCAAACCTCCCGGAGTATAAATACCTTAAACGACTAAGAAAATCGTTGATAAAAAATGTACAATTAAGCCCGAATCAGGGGGAAAACATGTGGCTAAGAAGATGGCAAGAAGGAAAAGCAACCAAAAAAACAAAAGACCGCCAAAGTTTCATTTAATTATGAAATGGTCCACGAAATAGTGTTTTGAGAACAAAAATGAAAAAACAAAGAAGCAAATCTTTCCCAAATAATCCTTCAAACATTCACCAAATAGTCAATGCAAGTAAAATTCGCTCCTGATCTAAAACTCATCAAATCCAGGTTCAATCCACTTTGACCGGGTCAATTATTTAGTTTTGTGGGTGTGGGAAAATGATAAAACAAAATTGAAAAACAAAGAAGCAAGCATTTCCCAACTAATCCTTCAAACTTTCACTAATTCGACAACATCGGGTCCAATTAGATCGAATACCATTTTGGGTTTTGGGTCAATTGTTGCTAAAAGAATCAGTTAGAAAATCTAAAATTCGTCAACATCGAGTTCAACTGGCTTTAACCGGGTAGAATTAGGTCGAATTGTCATTGATTTAAGCATGCAAACCTCGTTGTCGATCTAAACTTCCTCAACAATAATAATAAAAAGAAAAAATTATGAAAGTTTAAAACGACATCAAAGGCAAGTGCGGCGAGTTTTTAACAAATTCACACCAACCCAACCCGTCAATTACATAAGCGTGCAAAACTCGTTCTCGACCTAAAATTCACTAACATTGAGTTCAGCTCGCTTTAATCAGATAGCAAAGGCAAGTAGTGCGAGTTTTTAATAAACTCAACACCGTGTACAGCTTAATAATGAAAACAAAACAAAATAATGAAAGTTTAAAACAATAGCAAAGGCAAGTAGAGCGAGTTTTTAATAAAGTCAACAACGGGTATAACTCACTTTAATCGGGTCGACATTAGGTCGAACACCCTTTGATTTAAACATGTAAAACTCATTGTCAATGTCAGGTTCAACTCACTTAATTGTGAAAACAAAACAAAACAATAACAAACAATAGCAAAGGAAAGTAGGGCAAGTTGTTAATAAAGTCACAATAACCCAACCCGACAATTACAAATAATGTAAAACTCATCCTCAACACAAAATTCATTAACACCGGGTTCAACTTTCTTTGTCACAACCGCATCCTCACGCATGAAAATCTGAAGAAGCGCGGCTGGAACGTGGTGAGCAGATGTGCGTTGTGTGAATCTGATTCTGAGACAACTTCACATCTTTTCAGAAGCTGTGAGTTTAGAATGAGGATTTGGGACAGGTTCTTGACTCCTGTCCATTGTGGGCCCCTTCCCGCATGCTCTGAAGCAAGTGTTTGGGTGCTGGAGCTTAATGATCCTTGTGTTTGGACGGATTGGTTTCGACAGCTGTTGCTTCATGCGTTTGTATGGGAGATTTGGAAAGAACGAAATGGCAGAATGTTCAATGACAGGAGCAAGTCCTGGCATGCTGTGTTTCACAGGATCGGATGCACGCTTCGACATTGGATATTGGCTGCGGGGATGATTAGTGAGCAAGAGGCTAGATTGTGGTCGAGTATGATGGCTCGGGCGTGTCCCTTTTCTTGAGCTTTTCTGATTTGCTTCTTTTGTCTTGTGCTTCCAGTTCGTTTCCCCCCTGTTCTCTTCCTCTGGTTTTTCTTTTCTTTTGGCGAATTGGTGGGGTGTCCCCTCCTTTTTCCCTTAAGTTTGTTTATTATTTTTGTTTCTGTACTCTGTATACACCTCTGGTGTATTTTCTCGGCAATGCATTTTCATCATTATCAAAAAAAAAAAAACTTGCTTTTAACCGGGTCGAATTAGGTCGAATACCCATTGATTTGGGTTCAATTGTCATAATTCCACTAGGAAGCCCAAATTATTCTAAAAGTGTCATTTGTGTATTAAACGGAGTATTTACTAACTATGGTATAAATAGTGGACATTTCTTAATCAGAGTTGATCTCTTTCCTTCGAAAGTGTCATTTGGTTAATTACAAAAAGAGCATCCTTGTGATGTGACTATGAAATAGTGATTTTGTTGCTTGTTCTTTTAATGAGTTAATAAGTTAATTCATTAGAACCTTAATGGCACATAAACACCTTCAAGCTCTGGTTAATTACAAAAGAACACCCCTTGTAATGTGGCGATATGAAATAGTGATTTTGTTACTTGTTCTTTTAAAGAGTTAATAATTAACTAACTATATATCAAGTGAAGACTACACGGCTCCAATGTTCCTGGCAAGTGGCTTAGTTTGATGGTGTGATGAAAAACCAAATTGCTGCGATTCTGAAGGTTATAAATTTCTCAAGATGCTTGAAAGAGGACAACATTCCATGCCACATTGAAGATGTACAACCCAAAAAAATGCATCTCTCTATCTCTTAAATACTAGTCTTGCTGGCAATGCTTGTTCCTGCTTAATTCTTCTATTAAAAGAACAAGCAAAGGCTGCACTGTTTCTTAGAGTCACATCCAAACACTGTGACTTATTTTGCTTTGTTGTATCTTTGATGGAGATTGATTTCCTGCTTTTTGGCCGTCGTTCCATTGCCTTTCCTTTGCTTTTCAGTTCTCGATCTTTGGCCCCCTCTGCTTTGTTTTTTTTTTTTCGAGAAGAAACCTTTTGTCCCTTTAGGAGCTCTTGCCCTTCCCATATTTGGCCATTGGTTTACTGCACCTATGCTTATCAGTCCCTTTCTTTCTTTTGTTCCTCTCTCTTCTTCTTCTTGCTGCTCTGCTATGCCTGGTCATAAGCTTTTGCTCGATCTCACGGATAGGGATGGCCTGCAGACTCTTCTCAAGTTGCGTTTGCTGCATGCTTGGGGATCGTATGGCATTCAGGATCCCTCTCTGGTCTTCAATTACTGCACTCTTTGGACTGATGAAGAGGTTTGTTGCTTGACTGTTCTGGTTTCCCTTTCTGTTGCCGGCTCTTCAGAATAAAATAGAATGTTGCTTTCTTTTCACTGTAGGGGACTTTAATCCAGGGAGTGGCGCCGCCAGGACCTCACCCACTACTTCGCACCGATCCTCCAGTTGGGGTTCGTGTATTTGGTTAGCAATTTTCGTCTCAGGCCTCCGGGTCCTGTCTACCGCCCTTGCTCACACAAATTGAATATTGTTCTCTCCCGTGATACAATGTTTCAAGATGTTACCGCTGCGTCTCCCTCTTTTTGGAGTGATTCTTTCGAGTTTGTTCCTTTTAATTCTCTACATTCTCGCACCCGATCGTCGCCTTATCTCACAGGTTTGCCCTCACCTTTTTCTTTGCTTTTACAACTGTATTTGTTCTCTGCTTTTGCTTCCGCCTCTTATTGATGTCTGTTCTGCTTTTTATAGATGTTTGTTCTCTGCTCTTGCTTCCGACTCTTACTAGTTCTGTTTTGCTTTTTATAGATGTTGTTGGAGCGGTGCAGAGTGTTACTGGTATTTCTCACTCTGTTACTTCGTTCGGTCGCAATGTTCGCCGGGAATTGGTCATTCTAACAAAAGGTCCTCCTTTTACTTCCCTTTGTGCACCTGCTTTCCACCTCTTTCCCAAAATGTGCGTTGTTCCTCACGTTAGCTGGTTTCTGGTTTGCCTTTCTTGTAGCCATATGGTCCTTGATGTGAATTTGTGGAATGAAATCGCTCAAGCCCTTGATGGTGAGGAGCTTGCGGTCCTTGGTCGTTCAGGTCCTGTAATTATGGGTGTTTGCAGTCTTCGTGTAACTGGCACGATCAGAGGTCTCCACCCTTATTCCTGCTCTTCTTATTCGTTTCATTACTTGGTTGTGCTTTTATTTACAACCTTCTTCCTGCCTCTCATTTGTACAGGTGGGTTCGCTTTGGCTAGCACTCCTGGTACTCGATGTGTTTTGGAACCCATTTCTGAAATGGCTCAGCTCACCCGTTCTGTGTAGGTCCTTCTGTTGTTGTTTGCTTTCTGTGCACCTTCATTCCCTCACTTTGTTTACTTTTGCATCGGGAATTTTGCTGGGAGAAACACAGTCACATATTACCCTCCGCGTTTCTCGACTCCTGAAGAAGCAACAGCATTTGAAGTTGATTGTACCAAGACGGTCATGGAACTGTTTGATCTGTGTAGCCCTACACAGACTGATGTATGTTCTGCTTCCTGTTGTTTTGCTAATTCTTGCTTATTTACTCTATGTGCCTCTTGGGTTTGTCTTCACACAATTGTTGCTTTTTTGGTCGTTGCCTGGCCTATAGTTCTACGTGCTGCTTGTATGTTCTGTTTCCTATTGTTTTGCTACTTCGTGACGCCGTATTCTTTTTACCTCTAGGGTTTTTTTAAAGTCAATGTGGGTCGCTTTGTCGATGGCTGGCCTATACTTCTGTGTACTGTTTGTTCCTTTTTCTGCGGCTCCCATGTCCTCGCGCATCTCCTGTTTTTTGATCTTTTCGTCCGCCCTTTCTTTATGTGACTGTCTGCGTGCCCTCTCAATTCCGCTTTCTCTTGCCTGTGTTGCCAGTGGCTTGGTCCTCTTGGGTCCTTTTGCTGTTGTTTTTAGCTGGTCCTTTCTTAATTTTTCTTTTATTCTTATCAGAACACACGGTATCATTGTTTGGCCAAGGTGGTGTCAGTTGATTGTACGCGCCAGTGGTATTACTTGGGCTGTGCCTTGTGTTCCAAGGCGGCGCAGGATTATGACCCTCGTGATTATTGGTGTGACGACCATCGCCGTATCTCATCTCAGCAGACACAGAATTGGTTTCCACCACCTTCTCAGCTTTGTCTATTTCGCGTTACTCGATTCTCGCCATCTGACTTCTTTTTTGTGTTGTTGTCTAGCTATAAAGTCCGCCTTACTGTTGCGGATGTCACTGCTTCGGCGTGCTTTGTTCTGTTAGGCAGAGCTGCGGATTTGCTTGTGGGGATTACTGCTCCTGAGCTTTCTGCTCGTTTTCCATATCAGCATGGTCACCTGCCTCCAGAACTCATGGCACTTGACGGTCGTGATCTCAATTTTGTCTATAAGAAGTGTGCTTGCTGGAATGGTGTGCGTTCGTCTGTGCTTCTTGGAATGGTTGCCTCACCTGTTGCCACTTCTGCAAGGTGATGTCATTGCTTTCTTTGCTTCGCGGTTTCTGCTATTTGTTCCCTTCTTTCGTTGTAGGTTAGTTTAAATGCCTTTGTATAGTCATCTGTCCGCTTCCTTTCCTCGCCGGCACCTCAATTTCCTGTCAGTTTGTTCCTTGCATTCCTTGCTTTTCTTCCTTACTAATAGTTCTTAGTCTTCAGTATCTTCTCCCGAATTTTTTTTCCCTGCCCCGCAAACTCTGTGTTTGTTTGCACATTTACAGTTGTTTGTGTTGTGTGTAACTTTTGTTACTGAATCATTACTTTGTGTCTCCACCTACTGTTGTATTGTTAGGGATGTCGATACGCTGAATGTTTCGTCGGCTCAAAATGTTGCCAGCCCTTCCTACGCAAGGTTTTTATGATTCCTTGATTTACCTCCCCTTTACTGGCTTCACTTTTGTGCTACGTTTTGCCTCATTGTGCCTGGGGTCCTTTTTTATGCTTGCTTTGTTTGTTGCCTTATCTTTCATGATTATCTTATGCATGCCTGTTGTGTCGCATCTTTTATGCTTGATGTCTTATTTTTATAGTCAGCTTTTTTTCATTTTAAACAGGCCAAGGATGCCTGTTGACGCACAACCGACTTTGGTGCCTTCTGTGACTTGGTTGGTCCTGTCTCTTTTATGGTTTGATTTTATTACCTATTTGGTCTCTCACTGCTGACTGTTCTTCGATATCACACCTCGTGATACGCACGCCACCGTCTCTTCTCCACAAAAAAAAAACTCTCGGAAAACTGCTCCAAAGAAAGCTGCATCTAAGTCTAGGTTTGCCATATTGTTCTCTGTCTGTGTGTTTTGCTTTGTTAGTGTCTTACTTACAATTGCTTTGTAGGAGCAAGCGTGCTGGGAAGTCTGTTGTTCACAAACTAGTTTCACCTTCTTTGTCTAGGTTGTCGCTTTTTTGTGTTTAATTCTTACTGGCTTTGCCTCCTCTCAGCTTGCTTCCTGTTTTGCTGATCTGCGCTTTTGGTTCCTTTTTTAGTGATATTGCTGTTGCAGATGAACAGTCTCAAGGAGTTGACCCTGACGCTGAACTGTACTACCCTTACGCTGCAATTTGAGTTCTCACTGTTTGTTTGCGTTGATGCTCAGTTTTACTTGCCTGAATGTTGTTGCATTAATTGGTTTCAGGCAATCGTCACTCGAATCTTTTGAGGCGCCTTTCCGTGCTTCTCGCAGGACACCAAATCGTCCTGCCTGTTTGTGTGATCTAGAATCCAGTCCGCCTGAGATGTACATTACATGTTTTTAATTTTTTTATTTGCTTGGTCTTTCCATGCCAGGTTATACCTTTGCCTGATAATAGGTAGTTCTTCTGTTTTCGCAGGGATGTTGCTGAAGAAATGGTTCATGTTACCCGTCGGCGTCGGCTTGTGTCGTGTGGTGCGATTGTGAACTCTGCTGCTGCTTCTGCAGACCAAGAATCTCGCTCTGAACCTGATGATTAGCTGCTTGACAATGTTTCGGTGGGAACAGATGTCCTGCAGGCCACTAGCACCTTTGATGCCCCTACTTTAGAAACAGTTTCCGATCCGCTGCTGACGGAAACAATTGTTGCCATTTCAAGAGCATGTTGCGCAACGAGAGTATTATACTTTTCGTCTTCAGCATAGGGACATTGAAGGGTAAACGCTAATGCGTGGTGGGAAAGCTCTTTAGCATTATGTGGTTGATGCATTCTCTACTATTGAACAAAATAGACTATATTATTTGAGATCCCATCAAGAAGATCTCCGTTCTGAGCTGTATCATGGTCTCACCGATGCTTTTAACAGAGGGGATGTGACTGGTGATGATGTTGTCCATGTCGTTTTGCCGTCGTCTTATACTGACAGCCCTAGGTATATGAACCAGTTGTACCTTGATGCAATGGCTGTTGTTCATCACCATGGCAGCCCGGATCTCTTTATTACTTTCACCTGTAATTCACAGTGACCTGAAATTACAGAATCGTTTCGTGATATCTGTGGATCCAGGAGTGAACTAAAACCAGAAATTGTCGTTAGAGTGTTTCGTATGAAGCTTAATTCTTTGGAGGATGAATTGAACCGATCGCATTTCTTCGGAAAGACAGTTGCAGGTTCTGCTTCTGTTTCTTATCTATTCATTGCTTATGTATCGTTCTTGCTATTTTGGTTACTTTCTTTATGTCCCTGGATTCCATTTCCAATCTGTATTTTAGTTCAGTTGCTTATCTAAACTAAACGTCCCATTGTTAACAAATTACAGGTATCAAAACAGTTGAGTTTCTGAAAAGGGGTCTTCCTCACGTGCATATATTGTTATGGTTGGATTCAACCAGCAAGCTACGTACACCTGCTGATATTGATGCGACTGTTAGTGCTGAGGTGCCAGATCCAGACGCTGATCCTCTTGGTTTCGAAGCTGTCACCAGATTTATGCTTCATGGCCCTTGTGGTAGTGATAACCCGACTAATATTTGCATGAAGGACGGATCGTGTTCCAAGTATTTTCCAAAAATGTTCAACTTAGAAACTACAACAGACCAGTTTGGCTATACAGTTTATCGCCGTCGCGATACAGGCATAACAGCAACTAAGGGTGCAACTGAGCTGGATAACATGTTTGTTGTTCCTTATAACAGGAATTTGCTTGTGTTGTTCCAAGCACATATTAATGTTGAGGTGTGCCATCAGGGGCGCTTAATTAAGTACCTATTCAAGTATATAACAAAAGGTCCGGACCGTTCTATGGTTGTTGCTGAGTCTGCTGGACGTGCTTCGAGTGCTTCGTTGCCGGCGAATCTTGTCCCTCCCCTTGATGAAATCAAACAGTTTCTAGATTGCAGGAGCTTATCGTCATACGAAGCGGCATGGAGACTCTTTGAATTTCCTATCCATGAAAGAACTCCACCTGTGCAGCGTTTGTGTGTTCATCTTGAAGGGAAGCAGTCTATTCCGTATAGGAAAAAACAGAAACTTACTCGAATTCTTTCACGTGACGCGGTTACAGAAACCACGTTGACCCAGTGGTTCGCTTTGAATCAACGGGATCTGGAAGCTCGCTCTATGCTATATGCTGAGACTCCAAATAGATATATATGGAATGCTACAAAAAAAAATCTGGTCTCAGAGTAAGAAAGGCTTTTCGGTGGGACGAATTGTTTATATTCATCCTGGGTGCGGAGACACTTTTTACTTGAGGCTGATTCTTACAAAAGTTCGAGGAGCACAGAGTTACGGTGATCTACGTACTGTTAATGGCTTCCCATGCCGTACATACCAAGCTGCATGCCAACGCCTTGGCCTACTCTCTAATGATGATGAATGGCTCCTTGTATTTAAGGAGGTCAGCCAATGGGGAATGTGCAGTCTTTTAAGGTATCTTTTTGTGTCGATGCTCATGTTTTGTGAACTTTCCAATCCTCTTGCTTTATTCAATCAGACTTGGGAGTTGCTTTCAGAGGACATTACATATCAGTGCCAGCGGGACGTCAATTTCAACAATGACCTTATTCCACCTGACTTGCCGAGAAATAGATTACTGTGGGAATTGTAGCGCATGTTAGCTGCTTATTCGACTACGCTTGAACAGTTCAATCTACCAGTGTCAGCAACTCGCACTTCTTCTGACAGTGGCTTTGCTTCTGCGAACACCATATATGGCCTAGAGTTGGATTGCCTTGTCCATCTGGTTTACCAAACCCGGCCAGTTTGAATGAACAGCAAAGGCATGCATTTAATATGGTGGTGGCTTCTGTTACCTCTCCAGGTACGCAAACTTCAAATTTCTACTTCCTTTATGGGCATGGAGGTACTGGGAAGACTTTTTTGTATAAAACGATGCTCGCCCATCTAAAGGAACTTGGTAAGGTGGTTCTTGTGGTAGCATCATCAGGAATTGCTGCAACGTTGCTTCCTGATGCAAGTACAGCCCATTCTCGCTTTAAGATACCGCTAGAGATCGACCATGCCTCTTCATGCAATATTAAAAAAGGAACGCCGCTTGCACAGTCAATTATTGATGCAGCACTTATTATATGGGATGAAGCGCCGATGGTCCATCGGTTGTCTTTTGAGGCAGTTGATCGGGCGTTCTGTGATGTTATGAATATCCCTTTTATCGGACAGCATTATAGACCTTTTGGTGGAAAGCTAATGCTATTGGGAGGGGATTTCCGCCAAACTTTGCCAGTTATCGCTGATGCTGGAAGAGAGGAGAGCGTAGACGCCTCTCTTACGCGTTCTTACCTCTGGAATTTCTGTAATGTGCTATCGTTAATCCAAAACATGGTCGTGCCTTCTTCTTTGAATGAAAGAGAGTCGTATTCTGGGATGAATTTCGTTGATTGGACTCTTGCTGTTGGTAATGGAAGTGTGCCAGGAAAAGCTTTTAGCGATAATCAGCCACCTGATTGGATAGAAATTCCGCAGTCGCTGTTGATTGATGCTGCAAGTGAACCGATTCAAACAACGGCTTCTCAAATCTATACTGATTTTATGGCTCACTTCCACAATGTTTCCTACCTTACTGAAAGGTCCATCATCACACCAACAAATCGAAATGTCACAGAGCTGAACTCCCATATGCTATCTTTGGTTCCGGGGCAACCACGCATCTATTTTAGGAGTGACACTCTTCATACGGATTCAGCCGATCCAGAGCGCCTAGAGGCAGAATATCCAACCGAATTTCTGAACACCCTCTCTTTCAATGGATGTCCAGAACACCAGATAGATTTGTAAATATTTGCGCCTGTCATGTTGTTGAGGAATTTGAATCCAGAAATCGGACAGTGTAATGGAACCAGGCTTATGGTTGTTTGCTTGGGACATTATGTTATAAAAGGAATTATTATGGGTGGTGCCTTTGCTGGCAGGACTGTTGCCATTCCCAGGATTATTCTTAACATCAATGATTGTCGGTGGCCGTTTGTTCTCAAGCGACGCCAGTTCCCGGTCCGATTTTGCTATGCTATGACAATTAATAAAAGCCAAGGTCAGACGCTTCAAAGTGTTGGGGTATATTTGCCAAAGCCCGTGTTTAGTCATGGTCAGTTTTATGTCGCTGTTTCTCGTGTTAGATCGCCTGCTGGGCTGCGGTTTCTGATTGTTAACGAAGACGGGATTCCCTCCAATTATACTCGCAATATTGTCTATCAAGAAGCTTTTGCTGACATTCAACCGCTTATCCAACAAGACTAACTCATCTCACAGCTGTATGTGTTCTGCACTTATATTTACTTATCCATAACAAATACAGGTCCTCTCTTAACTGCATATTCTTATATACTTGATGGATTTCATTTCCTGTATTCTATTTTAACACAAGCTTCTGTTTGAACCAACAATTGTCAGAAGGAGTTAGTGTTTCACCAGAAGATGCACATCTGATATTTAGTGTAGTTTGAGTGGATGAAACATACTTTATTGATACTGATTATTTTTTTTTTCTCGCCAGAGAGGACATATCAAGCGTCAAAATCAAGCTCCTGCTAACAAGTGGAGATTACGACATTCTGGTTTAAAAATCATGCTGGACAAGCTGCGTCTTCCTGGATAACAACTATGTTTGCCTGGACATCCTCTGCATTGCTTTGTTGCTTTTGAAGGAAAGGTAAGAGTTCGTTCTTCGCCAATTTACAAATTTTCGGTGTATCTTCAGCATACTATCTACACGCCTGTATCGTTTGCACATACTGAGTGCCTTTTTCACCTTGAGAGGCGACTTAATCTGGTCTGTTCTTCTTTTCTTCTTTTTTTGCAGGCTTCTTTTGTTGAACTGGTTGTGCTCTGTTGTATGTAGTATCTTAGTATGTACTCTTTATTCAATTACTCTGACTGATCTATTAGTGGTCGACTTATTTGATGGTCAATGTTAGAACAAGATCCGCCCAAACTAAGAGAGTGCAGTTGTATGGCCCAACTTTTGTTGGAAAATAAATTGTCTTTTTTTTGAACAGTTGGCCCATTCCTGTTAGTTGTGCTTTTCGCTTTGTTCGGCCCGACCAATTAGCTGCTCCCTTTTCATATGGAAGAGACTTGGGCCCATTGTTTTGCCCTTGGTTATTGCCACTGCCAATCTACTTTGCTCGGCTCGAACACCCACCTGCTCCCTTTCATATATAAAAAACACATGGGTTCTCGTATTCAACAGCTGTTATGGAAACTTCAGTTTGGCTTGACCTTATTTTCATCCTCAGCCGCATCGTCGACTCCGCACAGAAGGTTTGTCCTTGTCTTTTGTGTGTTTGTATTTTACGTACCATGAATGGTATTGCGGACTTTTGTTGACTGATCTCATTGTCATTTGGGTTGTGGAAGCCATTCCCGCATATGAATTTAGGGTTTCACTTGAAATTTCATCATTTCTCAGCCTTTCAGTTCGCCCCGGTGATCACCTTTGTCTTCTGAATATCCAGTCTCGCACCGTTAAATGGACCTCAACTCTACCCTTCCAGGTTGCCCAGATGGTTTGCTTTATCACACTCTAATCATTCTCATGTCACCACCTTTATTTATACAGAACAAAACAAGCGAACGGTTCTTTTGTGTTTCAGTACATAAATGTGCTGATGCCTATTTTTGTCAGTCATTGCATGCTATTTACTTTCTTTATTTGGAATTCAGGGCCAATCAGTACGTCGACTACAGTTTGGGAACTTAATGGAAATTTTTTATCTACCCACATTGTCCTGCGCTTGATTTATATATGGCTGTCTGATGAATACATAGGAACGGAGAGCAACCAATTCATGTATACTTTATGGGTTGATTTGGAGGTTGGTTCTTCAATTCCCAGTTTGATTCCCTATTGCTGATTATACAGATCTATGCCCCCATTATATGCGCGCTGTCTTTTTGTAGGGAAATTTAGTTGAAGGAGTCGCTGAAAGAATTGATATGCCTAATATCGAACCTCTTCTCGAGGTGGGAGTTCTCTACATGCTCGAGGAAGTCCCCCTAACCGTAGCAAGGGGTGCTCAAAGAACTGCACCTTCAAATTTACGTCTTTGCCTTCGAACAGGACTGATTTGCAGGAAACTTGATGAAAATCAAGCCGGGAAACAGTTCCCGGTTGATGGATTTAAGAACACAGAATTTGAAGAACTTCATGGGATGGCCTCGGATCCAACGCACTTGGCAGGTTAGCTTTGCCTGCTTATATGTTTGGTCTCCAAGTATTCGTCTTATACTAGGTTCCTTGCACGTTTTCAGATCTCACAGGTCGTGTTTTAGTGATGTTAGAACCAGTATACAACAGTGATAACACTGTCTTCATAATGGTTCAGATAGAAAACGCCAGGTTCATGATTATAATTATACCTTTTACATTCGACTTGTGAGAGCCAAGCTGACACTCTGTACATACTGTCAGAAACAAAACTGTTGTGATCAATTACACTGCTGCCTACGATGATTTCTACTGTTGGGCTGCAGCTACTGAACTCAAGTATCCGATGGTCGCGACCTTTACTAGCATTTTGGTTACTCAGCCTGAACCGAGACGTCCGACACTCAATCTCTTTATTCGTTGGTATGCCTTTTACACACATCTATGCTGAAATACAAATTTCTTGTGTAGATCAATTGGTCTTAACCAGCACAAAAGCAACCCGCAGAATTCATGGCTCCTATGCACATCGTCACAGGACATTGATGAACAGGTTATCTTCACCTTAACTATTTTCATTGGTTTGTATTTTTTCAATGTAGAAACAAAGTGTCCATCATTTCTTTCGTCGCAGGTTCTTACATGATCACAGGCCAATTACGATTATTCAAAATTCAACGGTTCCAATTTACAAAACCTTCAGGCACCCTCTGCCGACTGTGGCTACACTCACCATGATGATTCAATTGCTTGCCACTGAACCACTCGATCTTGAGGTAAATGTAGTATAGCCACTCTTACGTGCTCTCAAGATACACGTTTCTCAACTATTCTTGATTTTTGTGCAGGCACGCTACTGGTGCTTGGCAAAAATTGATGTTGTTCCTGGAGACCAACGCTTGGTTAAACATGAACCTGGTTCTCTAAGGTCAGATATATAAATCTGTACGCGAATGCTCTATTATTTCCAAATGCTTAAAGGTTTCTTATGATCAAACAGGTATGATGCGTTTGTGTCATGTAATGATTTAGCCAGAACAGAGATAATTAAATTCGATCACGATGCAATGGTTCAGCTGCTCAGGTTACCAGCCAATGAATTTAATGTGCTACAGTTTACTGACAGAGAATCCATTCTTAGAGATGTTGAGGGCAAGTACTTTGCTCTAGAGCTGCGGATTGCTCGAGCATTCCATGTCACCAAACATCTCTCTGTTGCGGCGCTCTGGAACCCTCTTTGTATAAATGTAGCTTAGTGCCAGCTAGGCAAGGTCTTTTCTCTATTATGTGTCGTTCGAAGATATGTTGTTGATTGATTCCCAGATATTTTAACTATCAGACATATGGACTAGATCTAGGTCAGTGCCTTCACTTGCACTCCACGCCTGTATAGTTAAGCTGCTTTCTATCATCCATTATATATAATTTGGGCCCACTGTGCTGCTGATCTCTTTCTGTCTGATTGTGATTGCCATCGAATTTAAAACGTTCAAGTATCAACTTAAGTTATTCACCCTAACTCAATTCATTTTAGATGTCTCGGCCAAGTATAACTAAATTGAAATATTTTTCCAAAAAAAAAACAAAAGGGTTACCACAGAGAAAACAATGTTTTTCACGTAGTCCTTTGCACCGCAATTAAAACGACCTCATTCGGGAAAATACAGGGACCGTCAAAGTAGCCCTATGTAGGTCATGCTGTACATATGGTTACCTGTGGCCCAATATGTCATGGCTCGGCCCACTCGGATGGAGTGGCCTGGTATGCCTTCCATTATCTTCTCTAGGGTATTATCCATGCCATCTTCTTTCTCTGACAGAGAATCAGCCGCCACAGCGATTAGCGCTTCCAATCATGGACGAAACAAGAAACATCAAACAGTTGGGCCTTGGCTATACGGACGAACCGCTTCAGATCCGCCATTTGCATACATGGCAGGAAGCACTGTCAGGATATGATGAAGTTCATCATCTTCTACTCGATAAGCAGGTTTTTCATTCGCAGTTCTATTTGTAGATATCGAGCACCGTTCGTGCTTACATCAGACTTATTTCTAGATTATGCCATATCCCAGGGAATATTGATTGTTGCGACATTGGATCTTGTCGCAGCCCAGTTGGCCCAGTCAATTCTTAGACCGGGAGAGATTTACATTATATCTTCCTTCTTCGTTGCCCCTACAAGGCTGATGGGCCGTTGTTGTTCAAACAATTTCTAGCTTCGTTTTATAAATAACACTGGCTTCCAGTCTGTTCCTTAACCCCCACCGTCCGACTATCACCCAACCAACATGGCAGAACCAGTACCTTTCCTTGACTTATACACTCGCGCATTTGCCAATAAGGAAAGATCAGGTAATCCAGTCACCATGTAAATACACCATCTATTTGTTTTATGTCAAATTGTCTCCATAACTTTTCGCTGCTTGATTGTTATGGAACAGACATAGTGGGCCGCATAGTCGCTATCTCCAAACCTTGCGTGCATGCATAAGATGATCGAATGGAAATTCACCAGCTCATTATCCTGGAAGATAATTGGCATGTACTCAGCTTTTATAAGTCTTACGTTCCTCAAATCATATGTCTTGCTTAGTTCTGGTATCTTGCTTTTTCATGCAGTAACCGACAGATCCTGACCCAAATCGTGGACCACTCGATCATACATGCGCTTGAGGCATTGGTAGCTAGAGAAGAACGAAATGGACCTGTCGTTGCAACTATGACTTCTATGGTTGGCCTCTGTTCAGATGGTAAGATTTATGTTTGTGCAACGTAACACCACTCTATGTGTTCCTGAATTCTTCGTTTTATTGGACCCAGGAAAAAATGTTTACAAGAATACATGCAGCACAAGGGTCATCATTGACCAAACCTTACGAATGCATAGGCCCATCTTTTACAGGTTTGCATCCTTTTACCAAAACACTATATATCTTTGGATGCTGTCTTGCACACATTGGCCATGCTTTCGTTTCAATGCAGACATTCAAGTTCAAATATGCCAATCTTCTACATTGATCAACGGCGATGCATTGACCTAATCAGACCTATCCAACGACAAGGTCGATGCCACTCAATAGCAGACTTGCTTTTTCTGTTGGCTGAAGATGCTGCACTAAACACTGCACCGTCCATCAGTGTATGTTGCCTTTAATTTGGTCATAATTCACATAATGCCCAAATTACATGCCCCAAATCCTTCTTGATTGTTCTTTATATAAGCAACATTTAGGTGTTTAGCGTTGATTCAGCAGATCAATTACCAGTTTGGATTCTTTACTTGGTTATGCCCTGAATGCTCACCACAAAAACATAGACTATTCCCAAATGATGTATGCTCTAATTGCTCTGCATCCATTGCTCATGATGACAGAATTAAAAGATGCGCATATTAAATTATCAATCTATTTAGACCCATAAAATTATCAAATGGACTCAGCTTACTTATAAAGCCATGAACAGTTTCTATCTCTCAGCCGACGTGTGTGACGAGACGTTTAAGACTGCATTCTTGATTAGTCATGAAGCGGCTGCTGCATTACTGCAAACATATCCTCTATGGGACCTTGAAGAAGCAGACGTTCAGCTTCTTCTCCAGCGTATCATTTACCACACTTATAGGTTTGAGGTCAGGATGTTACCTTGGTGCAAGGACAGTCATGAACGATTTGAAGTTGTTGCACTTTGGCACCGTCATGATGCATGTGTTCAAGAATGATTCTAATAATCTTATAAACAAGAGTTCCCATCTGAACATTTAGCCCTATAGAATGTGTTTCTTTTTTGTGTCTTTGTATTGCTTAGTTTCGAGTTCCAAAAGGTGTTTCCTGTATTGTTGCCACCAAGACTTTATGTTGTTGCTTCTTCTGATGTAATTGTAGTTACCAAATATATGGATTATGTCTTTTGTAAGTAACTTTTCCTATCGCCAGTTTTATCTTGAAGCCCATGTGACTAAGTAATGTGCTTACCCTCAAACCAGAATATCCAAATGCACTACTGAAAAAACTCTCGATACATAGATAGTTTGACCACCAAATTGACTCTATATGTTCTGCACCCATTGTATAATTAAGAAACTTCAAGCTCAAATCAAATTATACAAGTGTAGAGCTTCCAAACCTAGGGATATTTATTTCCAACTCAAAATGCATGACCCATTTCTAGACTACTGAGCGCAATTTTACCATGGACATTGCACGCTCATTATTGGGCCGGCGCTTTCTCAATAATACCTGGACCGAAGGGCTAATTATTTGGCCAATTTACATGATCAGTTCAGTTACCAATAGGTTGTCGAAAACAAGCGATGCCGTCAGAACTGGCCCAGTTTTAAAAAATTTATGGGTGCAGTTAACAGATGCATTGGCCCGGCCCAATTAGGTCGGCAAAAGTTAATAAGTCATCAATTATCTGTAATACGTTTTGGAAACATAGTGCAGTCAATTGGACCGGCCCAATCTGTCTGTCTGTGTCTTCTCTTAAGCGTTATCCATACAGTATTGTCTCCTTTCATCAAACCCTTTAGCTTTCTCTGCTAAAAAAAACTCCTGCTGTTTCTGTCGTGGAGCTCAACCTTTTCTCGCAACAAAACCCTAGAACAAAAATTACCGCTCGTCGCAGCGCTGCTAGTCCCTCGGTCACGCATCCGGCCCCACTTTCGAGTTAATTGTGAGCTCGATGTTGATCTTTATTGTGTTACGTTGGTGTGATTAGGTTTTATTGCCCATTCTTCTATTTCTCTTGACGGTAAAGGTTCTATGCAACTATCTTTTCAATTACGGGGAAACTGTAGAGTTGTGTAGGTGGGTGTCTGAATAATGGACTTGAAAAGAAATATTCATTTATCAAATGTGCCTTCTAAAGGGAATTCTTTAGTGTTCTCACACTAAACGTCGACAGGTCTTCAGATGTTGAACAACAAATCTTTCTTTGTTGTTGCAATAATCTGCATATTCCTTCTGTGAGTTCTCTTTACTTTATCATTTGCTTTGCTAATTATGTCTCTTCTCGCAGTTTGGGAAAGAAGTTCGTCCTCCACCCAAAACATTGTCAGGACCTGATTTACTATTTTTTGCAACGATAGAAAGCGAAATGTTGCCAAAGGACCCACACGGTACCCTACAGTTACTTAAGAATACATTTATCTCCATATGGTTTTACATGTTATGAATCGGTTTACCTTTTGTTTTAGATGTCGTGAAGCAATCCGCAACCTTTCGTGAACTCCGTCTCGGAACAAGTAGCCACTTCCTAATGGGTCGCCTGCTAAACATCTGGTCAGAATGTGACCCGGGTGGAATTACATTTGTTCCCTCAATACACATGCTTTGGTTAGACAAAGAGGTACGTTTCTAAACAATTCAAACCTGCTCCTTATACTTTAAACATAGAACACTTGATGAACACAGTTTTTTGTATTTTAACTACTATAGGGACAGCTTATGGAAGCAAATGTACAATGTGAAGATTCTGCTCACATGTGCAGAGGCATGAACATTGGTTGTCTCTACACCATGATAAACCCAACTTTCATACCGGCTAGATCTGAGCGCCGCACTGCACCTTCCGATTTGAGGTTGTATTTCACAGATAGAGCTTCGTTCAAAGGAATCCATGAAAATCGCACCACCATGAATTTTCCAGATGACTGTTCCCATCAAGTTCTTTTCAATGACAATGGTTCTTCTGGAAGTCTCCCACTCTGCTACTCAGGTATTTATTTTTGTTCTTAACCAACTGATGACAACATGGTACATTCGAAATTGATGTACAGCGGATCCTATATTCTACATATCATATTTATATAGCACATGCAACCAAACAGCTAAAACAAAATCATCTTTCAAAAATCACAAGATGCGTCACGCATATCACAGAACCAACTAAGGTCAATTCAGATACAGCTATGTTCCAAATTTATCTTGAAGACATAAGGTATGCCTAAGAATTAGTTTCTGTTTTGTACTCCTGCATGACAGTTAGTCTATATCGACACTCATTATCTGTTTTCCAACTTGATAGTGGAAATAAAGGACTTGTGAGCTACATTGGAACGAAAATTAAGGAGTTCATTCGAAGTGCTGATGCAAAAGAAGTTCATTATCCTCTGATTGGGACAACAACAGCACTGACTCGGAATGTGCACGCATTTACCCATATTCCGCCACTTTGTTTCGTGACATCTCCTGGAAGTCGTCTCATTGTACATCCGTACAATGAAATGACACATACTTTAATGAACAGGCACATTTCAACATTTATATATTCATTTTGGTTCTTTTGCAGCTTTTTCCTGCCAGTTAACTAATTTCACCAATCAAATCTTCTAGGTTCTTTCATAATACATTGCCCGTGGACATCATTGACTACAGCTCGAAGGAGCGCCTTGGATACCTTCGGCGCAAGATTCCTCCCAGAATCTCATTGTTAGAATTGAAGAACAAAGTCCCTTTAGGAGAACAAGAAACTGAGGTAACTTTCCTTACCTTCTGTGTACAACTATACATTTGTTAAGTAAGTATATATTGCAATTATAAATCGTTCTCGAATCGTCTTCTAATGGAACCAGGCTTCTCAGTTATTCCAAAATTCTTAACTTGAAAATTTTGCTTATTCAATCTACATAACAAATACTCTATCGGTGCAAATTGAAGATAGTTAGGTTCGACCTTGGTTCTGAGACTTGCAAAACTTCTCCTGGAGACACTGAGTATTTCCAAACTACCTCTGCTTTTCTTTTCCTTATTATTAAGGCACAATTCATTGTTGAGACGACTCTAATCTACGTATGTGTATAGATTGTACTATGAACTGCAGGCTGAATGTGAATCCGGAAATCACAAAGAAAAAGTTGTTCTGAATCATGAACCTGCTCTTGCTCTGATCCGTATGGCACCGCTCGAGTTCCAGATAATGCCATATGACCAGCGAATTGAATTACTAAAAAAATGTTGTGATATTAAGTTCATGGCAGAACTGTACATCGTGGGATCAGAAGATTCAGATGAACCACAAATCCACATGTTTGCGATCTGGAACCCAAAAGCGTTTCAACTGTTGCTGGACCTTAAGTTACGGTTATGAACAAAGTACTCACTTTGCAATCAAAGGAGGTAGATTTCTTACTACTTTTGTTTCACCTGCAGTAGAATGTTACTCTTTCTTGACACAACCAATGTTTTCCATATTAATAATTAACCACCTATTCTGTTGTTGTTTCAGCTCTTAAGACTAAGGAATTAATCAGGTCGTTGCCTGACAAAGGATCGGAGGAACGCAGAGCCAAAAGACATGACTTCCAACATTATTTTGTGCATTCGAACTTTTGAGAATTGGAACAATCCTGCTGGATTCTCATTATGAACATAAACTGTGTTAGTGTGTTGTGTGTGGTGGTTCTGTTTTTAGTTCAGCCTTCTGAATATTTCAGCTACTAAACAATGTACTTGGGAATGCACGTTCAGATTTTAATCACCTTATTTATGCCCTTTGTGCGATGCATTTCTGTTCCATTTACTGAAACTGTTCTGTCTTCTCTTTTGTGTTGTTGCTATTCTATTTATTAAATCTCAAGATAATTACAGATGCCGTTGATCAGACCTTATCCACTATCCACAATAATATGTATTTCCTGATTTCATGTACTTTAAAAATCTAGCAGATTGGGTCATTCTTTGTAACCTGATTGTTTAGGATATGCATTTCCATTTGCTCTGTTGTTAGGAAAGTTGCCAATTAAGGGATCTCCTTGGCACCGCCTATCTTTCATTCTCTTCTTTTATCACCATTATTCATTTTATTTTTGATCATTTTGGGTCACAGAAACATTGACACAGGTCAAGGGGAATTTGAAGTTTTTTTATTAAAATTTCATTCGGTATTTCTTTCGTTTATTTTACTTCAGTACACCCAGATCAGAAGTTCTCACTTCGTCGTCGTTTCACCGTTTTTCGTCTTATGACTTGTAATCTTTTTCACACCTTCTATTTACGTCACCTAAAGAAAAACCCTGCTCCTCTTTCCCCTTTCTTCCTCTCTCATTCACTTTAATCTTCTTCCCCTATTTCCTCACATAAAACCTAAATAAGACTACTATTCCTGGGGTAAAATACCTCGGATACCACTTAAGTTTCAGAATTGGGGTATGCATACCACCTAAGTTTGAATAGGGCGTCGGGTACCACTGAACTCTATTATTTGTGCACCCGGTACCACTTAAGTTTAATGTTTAGTGCATTCCGTTAAAGTTGATAGAATATTCTGTTTTCTAAATTTCTTAATTGGTCCTTCTACTTTTCTTATTGTAAATTATCATTTTTTACTTATGAAAAATATCAATTTTTATTATTTAATTGGTATCCTCTTTTGAAAACTTGATACCAAATTAATTTTTGAATAGAAAATTTAAAATCAATTATTATTATAAGTATTTTCAATTATTATTATATTTTCTAATAATTGAATTATTCTATCTTTTTTTTAAAAGCTTTTGATACCAAACCAATTTTTGAATAGGAAATGTAGAATCAATTATCATTATAAGTACTTTAAATTACCATTATGTGTTATAAAAATCGAATAATTCGCTTAAGCAAATATATCCTATGAATTCTATATCGATATAAATAATATGAGGATGTTATATTGAATTCTCGTACATCATTTGGATGTTGTATAATTTTCTTGGTTACTTTCGTTCTATTTTCGTTCTAAATTATCTTCAATTACTGTAATATGTTTAATTCTTTCTAACTATGTTCCATTTACCATTCTTTGGTCTTGATGTATTGATGATCGATTAGATTCTATTTTAACTATTTTTAATGGTACTTCTTATCGGATTAGTGATTTAAATAGATCTTCTAATATTGATTTTAAATATTTATTATTATATTCTATATATTTGTTCTTCTTCTTGATATTATTATTTTTACTAACTTATCTATTTTATTGAAAATTTTGATTAGTCATTTTAGTAATATAATGTTTAGAAGGTTTTTTAATTTCTATATTAGATAAAAACTTGTTGAAATATAGTTTTGGATGTTTTTAAAAGTTTTGGGTATCAAAAAGTAATTAAAATTTTGGGTTGGATGGAAAACTAGACGGATGCACATTTTGGTGACTTTAATGGTACCTGACGCCCTATTCAAACTTTAGTGGTATGTCTGTCCCAATTCTCAAATTTTAGTGGTACCGGAGGTATTTTACCCACTATTCCTGTTCCACCTTTCTTCTTCTGTCTTTCGCTTTAATCTTCTTACCCAATCTCCTCACAGAAGAGACATGTTTGCACAAAAGCTGGTTGTGGATCTGAATGAAACTGAAGACCCAGAAACTGCTCTCAAGATACGACTCTTGCATGTTTGGGGTTATTACGATCAAAAAAATCCAGCTATCCTCTCTGCATACTGCAGTCTTTGGACCGATTCCAAGGTAATGAGGCATTTGCTTTCGCCTTTTCCAATTGGCGGTTCAGATTTTACTTTTCGGTCATCTCTCTTGCTTCGCCTCCTGCCTGTTTTCACAGGGAACCTTGATTCAGGCCATCGCACCGCCAAATTTAGCTCACCGATTTGGTGCAATCCTGCAACTAGTATGTGTGTATTTAGTTGCTAGATTCCGTTTGGAACAACCACAAGCGATGTGGCGCACTTGCTCCTACAGATTTAGTTTGGTTCTTTCTCAGGAAACTATATTCGAGGATGTGACCATGTTGTCGCCGGGTTTTTGTGCTGATTCATTTGAGTTTGTTCCCTTCAATTCCTTGCAGTCCTTGCCTCGCTCAACAAACCAACTCATAGGTTCACCTACCAATTACTGTGATCTCATGACATGCACTTCAATTAGTGTCTGCAGTAATGAATTAACAATATTTTATAACCTCTTCCGATGTAGATGTTGTTGGCAAAGTTGTGTCCATAGCCGGATTATCGTGTTCGGTAACCTCTACTGGCGCTGTTGTTAGGCGGAAGCTGGTCATACAAAACGAAAGGTTTTCGATGCATTACGGTTACATACTTTTCCGCTTTTAAATTGATTGAACTTGATTTCAATTATCTCTGTCTTGCCTGCACTTTGCTTTCACAGAAACATACGCCTTAATATCACCATCTGTGGAGATGTTGCTCGATCGCTGGATGGAGAGGAACTAGCATACCTTGGCCGTTCTGGTTTTGTTATACTGGGTGTATGCAGTCTTCAAATTACTAACGACACAACAGGTTTACATTGTACCTTTCTCCCTCACATTTCATGGATTTGCTAATCTACTTTATGATTACCTGACATCTACTTTTCTGCTGTTTTTCCAAGACGCCATGTTTTTGGCCAGCACCCCCGCTACACGGTTTGTTCTGGAGCCATCTTCTGAATTGGCAAATGTTGTACGTGCTACGTAAGTTCCTTACAAGATAGCAGTTTTAGCAATTTACTTTTCGTCGATCTCATCTATTTTCAAGTGTGTAGCTCTCCTGGTGGGACAGATACTATCCGATACTATCCTTCATGTTTCTCAACCTCTTTTGAAGAAAAGATATTTCGAGCTGATAGTACCAAGACAGTTATGGACCTCATCCACCTTTCCAACAATTCGATGGTTGATGTGCGTGCTTTTGACACAACTCTTTCTGTACAAACACTGTTTTTCATGAGGCCATGCCAGGCTAAAACATATTCTGCAATCTTGAATGTAATCACCCCATATGTTTATGTCGGATTTTAGGCGCCCATTTTGTAAGACAATTCTGGTTTTACATTCACCCATTAATTCTCATCCCTGTCTAAATTTGTCTACTCTACCACTAAATGTAACTGGTTTTAAAGTCCCTTTTTCACTTAAACCAACAAAGTGCTTGCCTGCTTAACTAACTTTTCTCACCTGTTATATTTCCCTACAGGCTACGAAATACCATTGTTTGGCACAGGTCCTCTCCGCAGAGTCTTCACGACCGTGGTTTTACTTAGGATGTGCCTTCTGTTTTAAGACAGCTAGGGAAATTCCTGGCACTAATGATTTTTTGTGTGATGAGCATGGCCAGTTGATGCCTCAAGAAACCGAAAATTGGTCAGTTTAGCATACACCTATTTCCCCATTACAGTACCCACGCACAATTAAACCCTGCAGTTTCTGCTACATTTTGACAGCTACAAAATCCATTTAGCTGTCAGAGACACTACTGGTTCGGCGTGCTTTGTCGCACTTGGAAAGACCGCTGGATCTTTGATTGGGTTTACAGCTAACGAGTTATTGGTGCGACACCCCCAACACCATGGACATTTCCCTCCAGAAATTGTGGCCATGAATGGACGCTGGTTTTCATTTGATGTTCAGCTTCCTAAACCTGGATATTTGCCTCAAACCCCTCTGGAGTTTACTGTCCTCTCTGCAGTCGACCACAGGCAGCCTCAGCAATAGACTCATCCCAAAAGTCCCCACATCTGAAACAAGTAGTTGTGCTCGAATAATTGACAAACATGAATCTTTTCCTGCATCAGTTCGGCCAAAAACAAAAATAAAACATTAGACAAGACTCCTATCATCAACTATCTACCATGTTACCTCTGCTTTTGTGAGTGCTTGCAGGACATGCAGCTATGCTTTTCGACCCTCAATGTAAATATCTCAACAAATGTCAAGTAGCGGTTAAGGGACTTTCACTTGGACCACCATCACCAAATAGCACTCTTATAGACTACATCCAATGCAGTCCAGCAAAATGTCTAAGATGTATTATCCCAAAATGTGGTAACACCCGCCTTGCATCGTTAATAGGTTTATGTGTCCAATATGCACATAAAACTATTCACGTGCACAAAAACTCCAAAATTCCACTTAAAACTCTACATTTTCCCAATATAATCTCCTCGCCGCGGAGCGCGGGTTCTTTTACTAGTTCCTATAATCAAAGTTGTTCTTAGGCTCATTTGGTGCTGCTAACAACAAGAGTGTGCTGAAAAGCAACAACGTCACTCACGTATTAACTACTGCAAATTCCCTGGCTCCGGTTTATCCCAATGATTTCGTTTATAAGGGCATTGCAGGTGACGATCTTCTTAACTTTCCACTAGATCTGTGCTTTATAGGAACTTCTAGGACTGAAACTCTTGTTTCCTTTTTCGTTTGGTGAGGGAAGTTGCTGATAGTGAAGATACCAATTTGAGACAGTACTTTGATGAATGCATCAATTTCGTCGACAAAGCCAAGAGACACGGTGGTGGTGTTTTGGTACATTGCTTTGTTGGAACGTCCAGGAGTTGATGATTTGACCACTTTTTTCCATGAACTCTAATGAATTGGATGCAATAATTTGGGAAAGGAGCTCAGCTGAACCTGAGTCCTTCGTTCAGCTTATATAGTTGTACATTGCAATTAAACCAAAATACGACATGTGTCTCTATATCATAGGTTTAAATTAAATAAAACACTGTTGTTTAACGACTAACTGTAAAATAAACTCTACGCTGCCGTTTCGCCTTAACCAGACTCCACGACACCGTTTCTTCCTTGATCTCTTCTCTTATTCTTTCAAGTCATGCTAAGACCATTATTGCATTTCTTCTTCTTCTGTACCAAGAGAGCACAGCATCAGAACCTTCCTCTTCTCTTCTACTCTGTCATCCCCCCTCAAGTTGGCGTTATCAACTTGATCCCCAACTTGACTAGAAGTTCCTTCAATCTGAAATGATCCATGCCCTTTGTGAAAATGTCTGCGAGTTGCTCAAGTGTGTTGACATATTGCAGCTTGATCAATCCAACCTTCACTCTCTCCCTTGTAACATGTATGTCGATTTCAATGTGTTTGATCCTTTCGTGAAAAACTGAATTTTCTGCTATATCAATGGCAAATCTATTATCACAGTAAATCATAAAGGTACCTAAATTGTCAACTCTGTTAGCAATTGTTTCAGCCATTATACTTCACAAACCAAGTGAGCTAGTGCTCTATACTCAGCTTCTGAGGAAGACCTTGAGACTGTGATCTATTTCTTTGTTTTACAGGTCAGCAAAGAAGTTCGAAGAAAGGTGCAATACCCAGTGATAGAGCTTCTTGTGTCAAGGCAACTTGCCCAATCAGAGTCACTATAAGCTGTCATCTTCAACTCTGCTTCACTGCTGAAGTGTATGCCTTGATTTGGTGAGGACTTCAGGTATCTAAGCACCCTGTATGCAGCTTGCAGGTGTTCAACATAGGATGCCTTCTGGTACTGACATAGTTGCTGAACAACAAAAACTATGTCAGGCCTTGTGGTAGTTTTGTAATGCAATCTTCCTGCCAGTCTTCTGTAAACTTCTGGGGTCCTCCAGTGGTGTTCCCTTAGAACTCAATTTCACTTTGGTATCAATGGATGTTTTGCAACCTTTAGACTCTAGATAACCAGTGTCCTTTAATAACTCTATGCAGTATTTCCTTTGACATACATCCAGTCCATCTTGATTTCTGTTTACCTCTAAACCAAGGAAATATTTAAGAGGCCCCAGCAATTTAATCTTTAACTGTTTACTGAGGGCATCCTTCACTTGTTCTATGTCCTTCTGTGAATCTCCCCCCAGGATGATATCATCCACATACACAAGCAGCATTGTGATTTTCCCATGAGTCCACTTAGTGAAGAGTGAGTAATCTAAGGCTGGCTGTGAAAAACCAAACTTCAGCAGGAACCCTGTCAACTTGGCAAACCACTGTCTAGAGGCCTGTTTGACGCCATATAATGACTTCTTTGGTCTGCAGGTCATCCTTTGGCCACTGCTTGAGGGAACTTCTAAACCAAGGGGAATCTTCATATAAACAACTTCATCCAAATCTCCATGCAAAAAAGCATTTAAGACATCTTATTGTTCCAATACCCAGTGCTTCACACTTGCCACTGCTAAGAAAGTCTTAACTGTGTTAATCTTTGTCACAGGTGAATAAGTATCAAGAAAGTCTATCCCATATACTTGTGTGTAACCTTTAGCCACTAATCTGGCTTTGTTCCTCTCAATTGATCCATCAGGATTCAATTTTATCTTGTAGACCCATTTATTCCCTATCTCCTTTGCTCCTAGTGGCAAGGGCACTATATCCCAAGTCTGATTTTCCTCTAGTTAATGCATTTCTGTTTTCATTGATCTATTCTAAACATCATATTGAACTGCCTCATAGTAGGTGTTGCTGTATGGGTCGAGGCGCCGAGCATTGGCGATGAAGTCCAACTACTCTTGGGGGGTAGTAGACTCCCTCATAGCCTGGCAGTCTTCTACGAAGTGGCTCGAGCTCTCACACCACTGACACTGAGCAACTGGAGGTGTAGCCATGCCTCTGCCCGGAATAAGACTGTTGGGCTGCTTCAATGTCTGCACTAGCTCAGCTACCTGCTGCTCGAGCCCGGATCTGGTCTCCATGGCGTGCACACCACGGTCCCTGGAATGTCTGCCTCTGCTGCTCTGCCCCCAAGAGTGATCTCTGGCAGCCAATGTATTAATCATCTGATTCAGCTCGGGTGGAGTCTTGGTGAGAACATCCCCTCCTGGGCATAAAGACTCAATCACCCTCTGGCTATCTGGGGAGAGAGCGCTGTAGAAGTTCCCCACAGCGAAAGCATCACTAAAGCCATGGTGGGGGCACTGCCAGAAGTAGCCCATGTACCGCTCCTAAGCATCACGGAGTGACTCATCTGGCTCCTGGCGGAAGTGAGTGATCTCCCGCTGAATCTCTGTAGTCTTCGATGCTGGATAGTACCTGTGCACGAACTTGTCCGCCAGATCGTCCCAAGAGGTGATGGACAATGGGGGCTGGGTCTCCAACCACCTCTTAGCATTCCCCGCCAGAGAATGGGGGAAAAGGTGAAGGCGGATCGCATCATCAGGGACACCATTCAGCTTGAACCCGTTCGTCAGCTGCAGGAAATGGGAAAGATGCACCCTGGCCTCCTCATTCTTCAAGCCATGAAACTGGATCGAGGATGTGATGAGCTGAATCCAGCATGGCTTGATCTCGAAGTTGTTAGCTGGGATCGGTGGGTAGAGGATGACCGGGCGGATGTCAGCAATCCGAGGAGTGTAGTAGTACTTCAAGGTGGGGCCCGGCTGCGGTGGATGATGAACTCCATGGTCCTGGGGTATGGGGTTGTTCCCCAGGACCTGATTCGCCGGGGGAACCTGCTGTGGATTCCCCTGGTGCGGATTATACTCTCCGTCCATCCTGTGCTCTTCTTCAGAATCACTGCTCACGTGGCCGTCTATGCGCTCTTCCGTAGCCAGTCTAGCTCGTTGTTGTCTCCTGAGCTGGCGACAGGTGCGGTCAATCTCTGGATTCAACGGCAGTAAACCTCCCGACTGGCTACGGGTCATGCACTACCTGCACACACTCAAGCAGACAAACCCGTGAAGGCACAAGTGGGACAAAGCAAACAAAGCAAAAAGAAAAGCCAAATTAACAGAAATCACTTTTCTTCAACAACCTAGCCGTCCCCGGCAACGGCGCCAAAAACTTGACTCGACTCTACTGTCACTCCAGGAATTGGCCAAGTGTAACCACTTCCTAAAGCGTAGTATAGCGGGTTTAGGTTTAATTATCAACCCGGGTCCTAGATTTGCTGACTACTCAGTGAGTTCTGGTTATCTAGCAATAAAACTGGAGTGCAAGTCTAAACTACCAAACAAACAAAGCAAGTAAACTGGTTGTATTCAGGTTAAAGAGGTCACCCGGATATGGTTCCCCCTAGACTGCAGTTAAGCCGGATTGTAATTACCAAGTTCAGTTTCTATGAAGATTATACTGCGAAAGGTTCTTAAACAGCCTGAAGTCTCGACTAAAGGTCTTCAGACCCTCTCAATCTGACTCTCTAGCGGGCGACTAACCTCCACCGGAGTCGACGGATTGAGGCCCTAAGAACAAAACCTCCACTACCGGAGTAAATCCGGTACAGAATAGTGAGTTGGCTCCTCGACTAAAGTCACCAACTCCCTACCTTCAATCAAGGATACTCTATTAACCTAGGCAGATATTCTCATTCTAGGTTAAAGCAGAAACAACAGGAATTTGATCAGGATTCAAGTCATTCAATCATTAAAACCTCAATCGAATATAATCAATCATAGAATCAGTACTTGGGTTCATACAATCAAAGCCTAACATACAAATCTAGGGTTCTCCATACCCAGATGAATGGGAGAACTACTCCATGGAGAAGAAAGCAAAAGCAGAATCAGACACGGAATTCATACTGCGAAGGATGGATTCCTGCTTCTGGACGTTGATTGGCACTTCTCCAAGCTCAAGTTGGCCTCCAATGGTGTTGAAGATCAATCTAGGGCACTTGGGAACTCTTGCTCGTCACTTTCTCTCTCTAGGAACTGATCTCTCTCTAAAAAACTCGAATCCCCCCGAATTGTGGCTGAAAATCTGCTTAAAAGGAGAAAATCCCGACTCACACGGCCAGGGTGGCACGGCCGTGTAGCTTACCCAGTTGCCCGTGTGAGTCAAAACGCATCGTTTCATTTAGTTCGAATTCCAGGCTCTTTGCACGGCCAGAATGGCACGACCGTGTGGACATCCCCTCTTGCCCGTGTTTGCTCTCGCAGAATGTGACACGGCCAACCCGGCCACTTGCACGGCCGTGTCGATCCTCTGCACTGCCCGTGTGTGCTCTCGGCAAAACTCGCACGGCCAGGCCATTACTTCACACGGCCGTGCGAACATCAGGGCAGCCCGTGTGACCTCCTTTGTAACTTGTCTCGCGCCCGATCTTCACCCAATCGACCCCGAACTCGCTCCTAAACCTTCATTCACTTGCCAGGACATGAAATATCACAAACAAGCACAACCTAGCGTGAAATCGGTCTAAAACACGAGAAACCACATCTCAAACGGTGTAAGAACAGGGGTGAAAACATGTGTAACTAACGGTCTATCAACTAGGCTCCAAGCACACGTATATACATTCCAACCGATACAAAGCACCCCCCCCCCCACACTTAAGCACGACATTGCCCTCAATGGAGCAGAGGGATAGATAAGGGGAACGATGTTACCGGATTGAAATGCTGCGGGAGACTGGAAGCGGACCTGTCAGCGGGGACATATGGAACGAACAGACAGTTCTGCACTAAGGGAACAGCAAGAACACACTAGCACATGTTCGTTAGGGATAAGAGTTGGCCCAGACGGCCACAAAAGAAACAATCCACAAAAGAAAAGAAACAAAACACACGACAAATGCAGTTCAAGCTCCTGAAACACATGGAGCAAACAGAAAAAGTCTAAAACAAAAACACACACTGAGGGGCGACAAGTACATCCTACTCGTCGCCAAGGTTGTCCAGATCGATGTCATTCATGAATGCATCATTGTCATCAGCTGGTGGAGGTAGAAGTGGAGAGTCATCCCAGGGAGTCCTCCAGACTGGCTGCTCGCCCGGTAGCAGCTGGAGCAGATGCCCCTGTACCTCCTGCATGCGCCTAGCTCGGGCCTGCTCCCTCTCGATGCGCGCCATGGTCACCCCCTGCTGGGTCTCCATCCTATCAAGGCGCTCATCATACGTCGCCATCTTGGTCTGGTACTCGGCATGGTGAGCCGAATACTGCTGCTGAAACTGGATCTGATAGTCGCAGAGCTGCTGATTCTGGAGACGCAGCTGCTCGAACTGCTGAGAGAAGTAGTCCTGGCCGGGGAAGCTGGAACTGCCACTCCCGTACTCGAAGGTGGTGGGGCGGACGACAGCAGTATCATCCACGTCCTCGGGCTGGACCTCCTCATCAGTCGCACCCTCGGGAGCCTCCGGCTGGACCGCCTCTGGGATCTGAGGTTGAGGAAACCCCTCGATCAACATAACACCTTGCTGTTCTCGAAGCAGGTGCATTTTACTGATCGTAAACCGGCCCAAGGCAGTGGTGTCTCACTGCTCTGTGCAACCCTGCAGGGATATCTGGAAGTAGTCTACCAGGCGGGTGATGAGGGGAGTGCAGTGAAGTTTCTTCAGCTCAGAAGCACTCTTCTCGAAGGTCCTCGCCACCACCGAGCCCAAGTGGAGGGGATGATCCCTCTGGCGCATCGACTGGATGAAGTACATGGCTCTCTTGGTGATGGCACTGGCACTGTCCGAGGCTGGAGTGTAAGACTTGGCCAGCATGTGATGGAGGATGCGGTTGTCGAGCTGCAATGTGCTAGCCTTCGTCTTCCCCGCCCTGAAGGGAAGCTGACGTGGCCGAGCGAGACTGAAGTACAGCCTCCCGAAGTCCACCCCCGCTGGCTCGGCGCTCTCGGTGATGTAGTCCCTGTCATTGACCAGGTTGAGGCCGAGGGCGTCCGCCAGCTCGTCGTAGCTCATGGATCGTGGTTCACCGCCGAGCCAGAACTGGACGGCTTCTTCGTCTTTCCAATCGTCCGTGGCTGCGTGCTTGAAGGTAGTGTAAAACTCAAGCACGAGCTCATGGTAAACCTTCTCGCGAATGCTGAGTAGGCGGCGCCAGTAGCGGTTGGTGACAACGGGGGAGAGGTGCTCGTAGCAGTTCAACTTCTCCAACTCTCGCTTGGACCAGCAATGATGCTGCCCAAACTTGCAGGCCAGGACGTTCTTAAAACGATCCTGGTGGGGCCCCCTTCTCAAATCCTGAACAAACTGGTGCCGGAGGTTGGGCTTCGTCATGGTCCTGCAAAAGAACAACCCAAAGTGGAACCAAAAGAGCCAAAGAAAATGTTAATCACACCCCCACAATTAAGAACAGAAAACAGCCTAACCATGGTTTCATCCATAGTTTGGGGGTCAAAAACTAGATAAATCAAGTATAATCTGAGTGGGGGTTCACATCCATGAAAAAGTAGGCAACTCAAGGTTCACATCCATAGCAAACACACCCTCAAAGCACATCATTAAGGGCCCCAACCGACTCCCACAAAATGGTACGAAAACAGGCATTTCATCGAACACCTTGTGTGCAATATTAAGGTAAACATGGAATTGACAAAATTCATGCACACAAGGGCTCAAACAATCAAGGGGGACAATGCCCAACACAATTCATACATAATCCAAGCATTCCCCTCAATCAATTGCACAAAATTCTCACGATTCAAAGGGGTTCTCTAAACATGCACCCTAACACCCAATTCTCCATGCAAAACATAGTTAAGGTCATAATCAAACCTGGAGACTCAAGTAGAGGTGTAGGGGATGATGAGGGGAATGCAATGGAAGCGACGAAAGGCCGAAAAACTGCCCGGAAGTGCTCGTCAGAGCCTCGCCGGAAATCGGCTCCGGTGACTCAAAATCAAGCCAAATTACCTCAAAATCGAGGGATAGGCCGATAATGGGGAGGAAGGGATGGGTGTGGTGTTGGATTTGTGAAAAACCGACCAAAAATGGCCGAAAATCGACAAGGAGGGTGAAAAGTTGCGGTTTTCCGGCGAGGGGGAGAGGATTCCGACGAGAGTTTGTGGATTTTCTGACCACTCGGCCGTGTCGGCCGAATTTATAGGCCGCGGCTCGGCCACACGGCCTGGCTCACACGGCCGTGTGAGCTGCACCTTTGCCCGTGTCGGCCGACACGGGCTGGCCGAGGAATTTTCACTCGGCCGTGCCGAGTGCACATTTGCCCATGTCAAATTGTGCGAGAGCAAACACGGTCTGGGGGAATTTCCACACGGCCGTGTCACTATCACAGCTGGCCGTGTGGAATTCTGCGAGAGCTCACACGGCCAAATCCATTTTCCACACGGCCGTGTGACATTCAGGGCTGGCCGTGTGAGCTGCCAGAACTCCGAAATTGACCTGTTTTCACTCCAGAACGACATACAACTCGTGAACAACCCCTCAAGACTAAAAAAAACACAAAAAATCAAAAGGAAAAAGGTAAGAAAATGCAAACCTAGGTGGGGTTGCCTCCCCACAAGCGCTTCTTTACCGTCTTTTAGCTGGACGCCAGTAGAGGAACTAAGGGTCCTCGAGCTTGATCAGCAGCTCTGCGCGCTCGACAGCACCTCCCAAATACAACTTTAGGAGGTGGCCATTCACCTTGAATGGCTCAGTTTGAGCATTGTTGATCTCCACCGCACCGTGCGGGAAAACTTGGGTGACCGTGAAGGGTCCCGACCACCTCGAACGGAGCTTACCCGGGAAGAGTTTCAGGCGTGCATTGAAGAGCAGAACACGATCACCTACCTGAAACTCTTTCGGGCCCCTCAACCAAGCGTCGTGGAGACGCTTGGTGCGCTCCTTGTAGAGCAGTGTGTTCTCGTAGGCGTGGTAACGCCACTCCTCCAACTCCAGTAGCTGCAACTTACGTTCTGTACCTGCAACACTCAAATCAAGGTTTAGCAGCTTAATGGCCCAGAAGGCCTTGTGCTCTAGCTCTACCGGCAAATGGCACGCCTTCCCATAGACAAGCCTATAGGGAGAAGTGCCAATCGGATTTTTATAGGCAGTCCTATACGCCCAAAGAGCATCATCGAGCTTGGTGGACCAATCCTTGCGGGACTGATCCACCATCTTTTCAATTATTCGTTTTAGCTCCCGGTTCATCAGCTCGGCCTGCCCATTTGACTGGGGATGGTAGGCCACCGACACCTGATGCTTAACGCCATAACGAGAGAGGAGTTTAGTGAATTGCCTCTGAAAATGGGTTCCTCTATAACTAATAATGGCGCGAGGTGTCCCGAACCGGGAGAACAGCTGCTTCAGAAATGAGCAGACCCGTCTTGCATCATTGGTGGGCATGGCTTGAGCTTCTGCCCACCTCGAGACGTAGTCCACTGCAATTAATATGTACAGATTTCCAAAAGATGGAGGGAATGGGCCCATGAAATCGATACCCCAAACATCAAAAATTTCACAAATAACAGAGATATGTTGGGGCATCTCATCCCGGGAAGAAATGTTACCTGACCTTTGGCAGCGGTCGCACTGCATGCGAAGGAGTCTGCATCCTTGAAGAGCGAGGGCCAATAGAAGCCCGACTGTAGCACCTTCCGCGTCGTGCGGTTTCCTCCATGGTGACCGCCAGTAGGTCCCTCGTGGCATTGAGACAGGATGTCTCCCATCTCGTGCTCCATGACACAGCGCCGGATCACGCCGTCTGCTCCGATTCTGAAGAGGTAAGGATCCTCCCAGAAGTAATGCTTCAGATCAGAGAAGAACTGCTTGCCCACCAGATAATTGGCAAAGTCAGAATACCAAGGGGTCACGCTGTCCACCAGTGTCATCGCCAGCAATCGCTCACCTGGGAAGGAGTCATCGATCTCTTCCACGAAGTTGTCCACCGGAGGGGCTTCCAACCGTGAAAGATGATCTGCAGCAACATTCTCGGCTCCTTTCTTGTCCCGGATTTCTATGTCAAATTCCTGCAGAAGCAGGATCCAGCGGATGAGCCGAGGCTTTGCATCAGCCTTGCTCATCAAGTAGCGAATCGCCGAGTGATCTGTGTAGACCACCACATGGGAGAGCACCAGATATGGCCGGAACTTGTCAAATGCATACACCACAGCGAGGAGCTCCTTCTCAGTGGTGGTGTAGTTCTCCTATGCATCGTTCAAGGTCTTGGACGCGTAGTAGATGGGCTGGAAGTGCTTCTCGCGTCTCTGACCCAGAACTGCTCCGACTGCATAGTCACTCGCATCGCACATCAGCTCAAAAGGGAGAGACCAGTCAGGAGTTACCATGATAGGGGCATGGGTCAGCTTCTCCTTCAGAGTCTCAAATGCAGCTGTGCACTGGGGAGTGAACTGGAATGGTGCATCTTTCTCCAGCAGCTTGGTCAAAGGCAGGGAAATCTTCGAGAAATCTTTAATGAAGCGCGGGTAGAAGCCTGCATGACCCAGAAAGCTGTGAATCCCCTTCACAGAAATGGGAGGAGGTAGCTTACTGATCGTCTCAATCTTCGCGCGATCCACCTCAATCCCCTGCTTGGAGATCTTGTGCCCGAGCACAATCCCCTCACGGACCATAAAATGGCACTTCTCCCAGCTGAGTGCCAGATTAGTCTCTTCACACCTCTTCAGAACGAGTTCCAGGTTATGGAGACAATGATAGAAGGAGTCTTCATAAACCGAGAAGTCATCCATGAAGACTTCCATGATCTCCCCGACCAGTCGGTCGAAGATCACCATCATGCATCTCTGGAAGGTCGCCGGTGCATTACACAGCCCGAATGGAATCCTCCGGTAAGCAAAAGTGCCGAAGGGGCAAGTGAATGTAGTCTTCGCCTGATCCTCCGGTGCAATAGGAATCTGGAAATAACCAGACATGCCATCCAGGAAGCAATAAAACTCATGCCCAGCCAACCTCTCCAGCATCTGATCAATGAAAGGTAGGGGAAAATGATCTTTCCTGGTGGCGTCGTTCAGGCGCCGGTAATCGATGCAGACTCTCCAGCCGGTCACGGTCCGCATCGGGATCAGCTCTTTCTTCTCATTTGGGACCACAGTCATCCCGCCTTTCTTCGGGACAACCTGAGTGGGGATGACCCACTTGCTATCAGATATAGCAAAGATGATCCCTGCATCCATGAGCTTCACAATCTCTGCCCGGACCACTGCCTCCAAGTTAGGAGACAATCTCCTCTGCGGTTGCCTGACTGGCTTAACCTCATCCTCTATCAGAATTCTGTGGGAGCAGAAGGATGGGCTAATGCCTCTGATGTCTGTGATCTTCCATGCCATGGCCCGGGCATACTTCCGCAGCAAAGCCACCAGCCTGCTCTTCTGCTCGGGTGTCAGATCCGAGCTAATAATGACCGGGAGCTTATTCCCCTCCCGGAGAAATGCATACTCCAGGTGAGAGAGGAGGGGTTTAAGCTCCAGCTCTGGTGGCTCCTCCAATGATGTAGCGATCCGGGGCGAGATAGGTATCGGCTTGAATGGTATCTCTCGCCCCCTCGATCATGGCCTCGTCTAGCTCCGCGAGCTGCTCCTCCAGCTGCATGTCCTGTGATGCCTGTTCCCCTAGCAAAAGACAACGCTCAAGGAAATCATCAGTACCCGCACTCGTGATGGCGAGTGCGGTCTCAAAATCAGCAACAACATCACAGTAATCTAGATCATCATGGAGCTGGGGGTGTTTCATATTATCAGAAACAGAGAAGGTGATTTGTTCACCCCCAGCTCGCAAAATCAGTTTTCCATCATTCACATCAATGAGCGCCTTGGCGATGGCGAGAAAAGGTCTACCCAATATCAATGGCACATCCACATCCTCATTTATGTCCAAAATCACAAAATCAACAGGATAAGAGAATGGCCCTACTGCGACTATCAAGTCCTCTGCAATGCCCCTAGGATGCACAATGGATCTATCAGCAAGTTGAATGCTCATCCTAGTATCACTGGGTTCACCTAGGCCTAGCTTTTTAAACAATTTATATGGCATGACATTAATGCTAGCGCCTAAATCCTCCAAGGACTTCCCTATATGCAAACTACCAATCATGCAAGGGATAGTGAAACTCCCTGGGTCTTTTCGCTTCTCTGGTAGTTTGTTCTGCAGGATGGCAGAACACTCCTCGTTGAGCATCACCGTTGACAGCTCCCCAAGCTTCCTCTTGTTGGTGAGGAGATCTTTCATGAACTTGGCATACTTGGGCATCTTCGATAATGCCTCCACGAAGGGCATGCTTATATTCACCTGCTTCAGCATTGCCATGAACTTGGCAAACTCAGTCTCCAGTCGGTCCTTGTGCAACCGAGTAGGAAAAGGGAGCTGGGGTACATACTCCTTCACCACTGGTTGCGTTTTAGGAGCAGGCACCTCAACCTCCTTCTCCATGTCATCTTCATTAGCTGGAAGTGCTGAAGCAGGGGTCTCTCTCTCTTCTGTTCGAACAGGTGGATCGGCAGTCACCTTGCCACTCCTGGTAGTAATGGCCCCGCAGTGCTCATTCGGGTTCTGCGGATGAGGGATGGTCTGACCGGGTAGAGTACCAGGAGGCATCTTAGCTACAGCCTGGGCAACACTCCCAAGCTGGGTCTGGATATCCCGAAGAACAGTCTGCGTGTTTCTCTGAACAGCTTCTAGCTCCATGAATTTGCCTGAAGCTTTCTCCATGAACTGCTCGATGTTGTTGAACTTGTTTGCACTGGAGGTGGCCAGAGAACCCACCAGATCTTGCAGTTCCGCCATCGGGTCACTCTGAGCTGGGGCTGCAGGTGCTGCCCCTGCCTGCTGAAATGGCCGCACCTGTGACTGAGGTGGAACTGGCCCCTGCCTGGGCGGGTAGAGTGGCTGCTGTGGCTGCTAAAATTGCCCTTGTCTGGGCTGGTAAGGAGGCCTCTGGAAGCCAGGTGGTCCCTGGGGGACTGGTGGTCTGGAATTTGCCCCACCCCAGCTGAAGTTGGGATGCTGGCGCCACCCCTCGTTGTAAGTATTGCTGTAGGGGTCGAAGCGCCTGGAATTACTGATGAAGTCCACCTGCTCCTGGGGAGTAGACGACTCCCTCATCGCCTGACAGTCCTCCACGGTGTGATGGGAGCTCTCACACCACTGGCAGTGCATCGCCTGCGGCTGTCCTGTACCTGCAATCAATCCAGATCGATCTATGGCTGAAACCAGCTTCGATACCACCTGCACCAAATTAGATGACTGGGTGGCGACAGCATGCACACCCCGCCCTGGTGCTCTTCTCGATCTTCTGGAAGTGCCCCAATCATATCCCTGCTCTGCCATCTCTTCAAAAAGTTGATTCAGCTGTGGCGGCGTTTTGGTGAGAATATTCCTGCCACAGACTGAGTCAATCAGCTGCTTGTCCTCCGGAAAGAGAGCATGATAGAAGGTTCCCACCTTGAAAGCATCAGTAAAACCATGGTTGGGACACTTGAGGAAGAGACTAGTGTATCTCTCCCAAGCATCCCTGATGGTCTCATCCTCGTCTTGAGCAAAATGGGTAATTTGCTTCTGCAGATCCGCCGTCTTAGATGGAGGATGGTAGCGGGTGAGAAACTTGTCCGCCAGGTTGGCGAACGTGGTGATGGAGCCCGGAGGTTGAGTGTCTAGCCACTCCTTGGCCTGCCCCTCCAGGGTGAACGGGAAGTACCTCAACTGGATGGCATCTGCTGGGACCCCATTGATCTTGATTCCATCAATGAGCTCGTGGAATCGCCTGAGATGTGATCGGGGGCACTCCCCCTCTTTGCCACGGAACATCACTGAAGCGCGTAGCATGGTGATTACTGAGGTGCTCACCTCAAAATTATTGGCTAGGACATGAGGGTGTTGAATGGGTGACCTCATGTCTGCAGCCCTAGCGGTCCAGTAATGTCCCATGGTCTGCTCCTCGGAATTGACCACATCATGGTCCTGTGGATCAGCCATCTCCTCTTCGTCAGTGATCTGTAGCTGTGCTAGCGCCTCCTCCGCAGCCAGTCGCGCCTTTAGAGCCCAATTGAAGTTTCTGCAGGTTCGTTCAAGCTCCTAGTCTAATGGTAGTAGATCTCCCGACTGGCTACGGGTCATGCACTACCTGCACACAATCAGCAGAAGCAACCCGTGAAGGCACACATGTGGAAGAGATAAAATGCAGTAAAGAAAAAGCTAGAGTAACAGATTTGCACGTTTCCCCAATAACCTAGAGGGTCCCCGGCAACGGCGCCAAAAACTTGACACGCCAAAACACAACACCAATCTGCGACCAAGTGTAATCGCAGACCGGGACTGTAGTAAAGTGGCAAGTTCTATTATCAACCCGGGGTCTAGATCTACTGCTTACTCAGTGATTATCTATTATCTAGCCAACTAAGTTAAGTGATTGTTGTTTAAAGCAAAAGCAGAAATAAAGCAGGAATTTGGTACGGTTTTCTCAAGCAAAGAAGAGTCACTCGGGAATGAGTCCCCCTAGCTCCTTAGTTAGGTTTCAATTGTAATTTCCCTGGGCTTAATTGCATAATTGGTCACCCGAATTGCTTAAAAATTTCACGTTTGCCATCCGAATTGATTTATTCCATTTATAGTCACTTGAATTAGTTCAACAGTCCAAGTTCAGTCACTCTCCGTTAACCTCCGTTAGACTCCGTTAATGACGGCCGTTAAGTGATGACGTGGCTAACTGAAAGACACAGTCAGCACATTTAAACATTAAAAAAAGACGACCCGACCCGACCCGACCCGCCAACTCAGCCTTACCCGCCAACTCAGCCTTACTTGCCCAACCCAAGAACCAACCCAATTGATTCACCCTAAACCCAGACCCGAGACCCAACTCAGCCCTAAAATTAAATCGCAGATGGATTAGGGAAATGCCCTAACTCCATCTTCATCCTCTCACCCGCGACTGCTGTTCTTCCCATGACTGCTGCCGCGCCGTCGAGAATCGCCGTCGAGAATCGCCGTCGAAGGGATGGAGGCCGCCGCCGCGCCGCCGCCCTGAATCCCTCACCAGCGACTCTTCTTCTTCGAGCGCGTCTGTTTTTCCCCCCTGCCGCGACGCTCGCTGCATTTTCCCCCTAAATCGAGCGCTGCTGTTCTTCGCACGCTGGTGTTTTCCCCCCAAATCGAGCGGTGCTGTTCTTCGCGCGCTGCTGTTTCTCTCCGGCCGTCTGTTCTTCCCCCTGCCGTGGTCTGTTCTCTCCTCTTTTAAAGGTAAAACTCACCTGCTTCCCCTCTTCTCTCCTCTCCTCTCCTCTATTCTTCGCTTTTATAACCCGACGCGTAAAGTAAGAGTTGTCGCTGTCCTGGGGCAAGGGGAATCTTTTGGGGCTGGAACTTTACCTTTCTTTATACTGATGGTGGAGTTTTTGTCACTTTTTCCAGCTCAGCCTTCACCATGGTGGGTCATGTGCGTGCACCAAATGCGTCCCAACCAAAATATGGTGAGTCAACTATCCCTGAAACAGCTCGCCTTTATTGCAGTAAAGGACAACAGTTTGTTGTTTTTTTTCGAATTGAAAATTAGTGTTTGTGTGGAATAGCAAAACCAGCAGCATGTGTGAAGTGGTTCAGATGTCATTTTCATGGCTTTTAATACTAGTTGTTGGGTTAATGAAGTTAGACTTTAGCATCTGCCTTTTACTGCTTTGTCATTTTAATTAATCATTCTCTCTTTCGTTCTTTGCAACAGGTGCTTCTAGTGGAGAGTTCACGTTTGAAGTGCACTTATCAGAATCATTGAAGAAGAAGGGTGGCAAGCATTTTCTGGATGAGATGTCATTTTCTGGTATTGTGCAAGGCACTTGTGGACCAACTTAAAAGGTGCTTGTGGGGGGTCCCAAAACATGAAGAACCTGTTCTGGGCAGCAGTTAGAGCGGAAACGGTTCCTGAATTTCGCAACCAAATGCAAGCCCTATCAGAGTACAACAAGGCAGCCTATGATTGGTTGATCGACAAGCCATTCTACCATTGGACAAGGTCACATTATCAAACCCTCTGCAACTCTAAGATTCATACGAGCAATTTGGTGGAGAGCTGGAACAATGTGATTATAGAAGAGAGGGATATGGGTCCTGTATGTATGTGGGAGGGGATCAGAAGAAACTTGATGGTGTTATATGCCCACAGAAGGGAAATGGTGGAGAGATGGACATCTATGTTCACTGAGAAGATTGAGAAGGAGCTAGATGAGACTACTGAATAAGCATTGAAGTGGTCAGCAGAAAGTAATGGGAACGGACAATTTGAGGTGAGGTGGCACAGCCACCAAGTTGTGGTCAATCTGAAGCAGAAGACATGTACATGTAGACATTGGGAGTTGACCGGCGTTCCGTGTTCACATGCTATCACTGCAATCAGGAAGGCAAAGCTTCTGATCAAGGACCATGTTGCTGATTGCTACCTGCGAGAAACAGCGGCGAAGATATATGAGTTCTCCATTTCACCTACTAATGGCAAGGAGTATTGGCCAATTTCTGAGTTGGGGGATTGTGGAGTCCCTCCAGTTGCAAACTCGAAAAAAAGGGGCAGACCAAAGAAGCAGAGAAGAAAGGGACTTGATGAGGATGAGAAGGGGAAGAAAAAACAGAAGAAGGGTGAAAGGGAATCATCAAAGCCGGAAGGAAGGAAGTACGCGTGCACCACATATGGGGTAGTTGGGCATACCAAACTGTTCCATAATGAAGAAAGGAAGAAACAGGTGGAGGAAAGGAGACAGGCTAAGGAACTGGCTAAGGAAGAAGCTAAAAGGAAGAAACAGCTGGAAAGAGCGGAAAAAAATCGATTGGCAGCCATACAGAAGCAGCAACAGAGGGCTGCAAAAGCAGCTGCAAAAGCGCCAATGAGTCAGCCCAACACTGTCCAGCTCATGCCAGATGTATATATTTATTCAATTTTACAATTTTGCTTTCTAATCAAGTCCTACTATCTTCTAATGTTGCTTTAACTTTGCAGGGAACTACTAGGAGGCCACGGATTGAGGCATCACAGCAGCTCAGCCAAGGATGTGGAGGATCGCAAAATGCAAGCCAAGTGACTCAAGAGTGAAGATTAGTTGCAGTTTAGGTCCAAATGATAATTACCATTTTGAAGCCTCCAATTGGCTAGGAAATGTAAACGTTTGAATGTTCTCCTTTGCGTATTAGCTAGCCTATTAGGTCAAAGTGAATTGCTATTTTGGAAAAACACTGTCGAGGCTATAATTATCATTTGGACCTTGTAAGACTAAGTTTTATGAAAGACTATCAGGTTTATCAATCTTCCAGTACATTGGAAGGTTCTTTTGCACAAATACGTGCCTTAGTTGTCCATTTATGCACCTATCTGTGAGTGACCAAACATGGTTCGAGTTATCAATTCCAGTGACCAAACATGAAACAAATTCACAATTCAAGTGACCAAACATGGAATTAAATTAGCAATTCAAGTGACCAAACATGTTTTGAATTAGCAATTCCAGTGACCCAACATGAAACAAAATTGCAATTTAAGTGACCAAATGTGGAATGAATTAGCAATTCAAGTGACCAAACATGTTTCAATTTAGCAATTCACCATACCATACATGGAATAATTGAGCACTACACTAGCTACACATCAACAGATTACAACACCTACAACTACACAGACGACTTATCACTTTCCTATCCAAAACAGAAAAAATACAATAGCTCCTAAAATGATGAACGACACCATTTTCCGATCAAACTTGGACACCTCCTTGTTTTGCCTCTTCTCTAGCTCCCGAATTCGACGATGAAAA